TTTCGGACTCAGCGGACGATTTTACATAAAAAATGACTATCATAAGTCATAGGTCAATTTTGTTGTAAACTAGTGTTATTATTAGTAACGAAATCAATAGTTCAATAGTCTAAAATGCGGTGAATAGGAGGAACAAATTTATTTGTTTTAAAAAACTATGTTTTATCAATTTCCTATGAATCCCAAACGTCATTCAGAGAATTGGATATTACGAATGAAAAACCCCAATGTTTTATTGTAGATAATTCGTTATAATATAAAAGAATTTTTTTGAAAAAAATTAGTTTTTTTAAATTTTATCGGAGTTTTGTTAGCAAATTTAAGGTAAGAATAATATTAAAAACTTAACTTAATTTATATAAGTAATATAATTTATTTAAATATTATTAATATATTTAACCAAGTGCTACTATAGTGAAGGTCAAGAAGCCTTTGACGACATTTCAAAATTTTTATTGCATTAGGGTTGGCAAATATTGGCCTTATGTGTATATAAAAATTGTATGTAGTTTCCTTTGGAGCGATTCCAATATTTAACCAGCAATATTGACATATTTTTTANAGCGATTCCAATATTTAACCAGCAATATTGACATATTTTTTATTGTTGATTTGCGTTTCGAATTCGAACAGTTCAAAGTTGATTTATAAGTATGTTAATGTAGATTATTTACTGTAAATTTATTTCGTACATTTATATATCAATTGTAATGATTTTATAAAAACTTGAATTTGACATTATTTACATTTATTTTTAATTTAATTTAAAATTGATGATCAGCTGAATTAGCGTAAGAAGATAAGAAAGACAAAAGGGATTATAGTAACTCCTTTTCTTTAAAAAAATAATAATAGCCTTTGAGGTTATTTAGTTAAAATAGTGAATAAATTAAAGATTGCATTAAATTAGTATTTTGTGAATTATTCTTAAATAGTCCTAAGCTTATATGACATTTGTTAAAATGTCAATATAAAATACACCTGCCTTCAATAGGCGAGGAGACTCAAATTGTTTTCTATATTAAATAAATGAAATGTATTTTTATATTTATTCGGCCTATGTCTTCCACCTCCCAATGGTTATGTCAATATTTTACAGTTACTTAAAATTAATGTTCACGTACAATAAAATTATTAAATTAATGTCGAAAAAGAATTTTTAACTCGTTTTTAATGAACTTTGAATTGAAATATTTAAGGATTTTAGAGGAATTCGTAGTTGTAACAAATAAAAAAATAAGGATTTCTACTTATTGATAATTAAATTAAGTTTGGCGCATAAAGTATACAATTAGAGGATATGAATCAAATATAAATGACTATAAATTAACAATAGTTAATGATAATTTTTGGGACACTTGAATACTTAAATAAAAAAATCCTTGTAGCACAGACTTATGATAATATATTCTGTGCTTATAGTTAGAAATAAAATATGGTTCAGTACCGTGATAGATAAGTATGATTTCAATCGAGTTTTAATGAGAACTTTGATTGTTAGTTATTAAAATTAAAAAAAATGTCTGAATAAATGATATCAATTTTGCTCTATTTTATATCTTTACAGCTTACTAATATACAATTAATTAAATTTTTGTTAATTACATGTTACTTATATAACAATGTGTTTTTATCTTGTAGGTATTTTTGGAGTTAAATCATAGCAGCAAAAAAGGTTTTCTTCATTATGGAGTCCTTGAATTATATTACTACATTTATAAATGTATTATTTTTCACAACTGCTTTTTCTGGTTGTAGTAGTGATATATTTGTAAACAACAAGTTTTATATGCTATCAACTGATAACAATGCAATTGTACATCCGTCTTATAACATTGATATAGACAAATATAGCTTACACGGATATATCTGTGTTATATCCGGTTTAAATACAGTCCGAACTCATTTTAATATAAATGATAAAGTATTGTTTGATTTAAAAGAATATAACCTAAGTAATTCTGATTTTTTAAAGTTATTTACTTCCTCCTATATAGGTGGTGACTTTCCATCAATTAATATTAAAGCATTATCTTTTAAAGAATTAAGATCTAACGGCGACTTTAAACTTAATAGCAGTACATATGATTGTATTATTAACTATCATAGATTTATGATGAATTTTTGCTTCACAAAATATATTGTCGGATCTAGATATTCATATGAGTGCAAAAAACTCTTCGTTAATTTTCCTTCTACAAATGATGGCAACTATTTTCAGGTTCTCACTAATCGATCATCAGTTGATAGTTGGTGTTGTCCCTAAAATTTTTACTAGAAATCATTATCATTAAACTGTGAAAGTTTTTCTAATATTTGTGTAAGAACAAAGTTATAAAACAATTATTTGTCAATAATTAATAATGCAAAATATTATAATAAATAAATGTATTCACTATTTCTTAAGTGTTTTTTTATATATTTTCCGGGTTGGGCTGTAAGACTGTTAATAAAATGTTTTTATAATTTTTGTCATGGGTAGATAAATAAATAATTTTATTGTTTATTTATGCAATTTTATCATCCTTAACATACATTTTTTATACATATTAATAGACTGGTGTACCCCTTAGGGATGAGACTAATTTTTTTCTAAGAAGGGGTTGATGAGCAAAATTTGACGATTTTTTCCCATATATAACGACTACAGATTTTTAATAATTAATGAAAAAATAAATTGTAAAAGAACAACAAAATCGGTAAAATTAAAAAACTAAAAAATTAGTTTTAGGGTAAAGTGTAATTGTAACTTAATTTTTCTCTTAGAATATTTAGCGTATTTTATTTTAAATTGAAAATTTTGGTCCTGATTTTCAATTATATTTTACTTTATAAATAATAATAAGTGATAAATTATGAGGTATTTAAAATCAATTTATTTAAAAGTATTTTAACTTCATAAATTAACTGTATATCTTTACATTAATATTAAATATCATATAAATAATATACTAAATTCATATAATTCATATAATAAATTTCATAACAATTTATAGCATAAAATTCAAAATTTTATAATAATAACAAAAATGTAATGTTTTGCGAATAATTTGTCTTTTATTAATAAAAGATCATTTTTTCATTTTTAAACTCTTAATGTCTATTAAATTTGTGAAATTTTTATTGCAATTTAACATAATTAGATTTTACAAATGATTTGCTCCAATAGTAACCAATGACGAATTTTCAATATTTTTATGGGTGAGGAGGTCCTATAGAAAAAAATTTATTTGAAATACGCATAAGAGTCTTTCCTTATATATTAAATAAAATAAAAATATTAATGTTGTGGAGTGATCTAGTCACCCTCCTCTCCTTAAGTTTTCCACTGATCTTAGTACGAAAAATTTGCACAACTGTAAAATTTGATCTATGGATTAACGTGGTTATGAATAAATGTGTATTTTTTTTATATTAGTGTTAAATTATTCGAAATCATTAGTATCATTAAATCTAAAAAATAGATTAAATTTATTAGAGTAGTTTATGATAAGTTCAATTAATTCGACAAGACTTTGTAATTAAATAAAATATTTCACATGATGACATACGTGTCAATAGTTAACGATACGTAGATATTAAAGTAAATAAAATAATTGATTAAATACCTATGCCACTTAATATAAATGAGTAAAATTGCGTTCACATCGTATTGATAAAAATATTTTTCAGTCGGGTGGATAAAATTTTGCTTGATAAAAAATAATTTTAAATAAAAATAAATTATTTAGACTATGAAAATGTTTTAATTAGCAACGTTCATATATGTGGGTGGTAATTGAAAAAACCTAACTCGCTTGATATATTTCAGTCATCTAATATTGTAACCTGGAAAAAAATGTGAGTGTATACAATTATTTTTTTTACGAGAACACAAAAACTCGAGTTTTGGTAGCTCTAAAGCCACCAAAATGATATTACCTATTAAATATTAGTCATTACATGCGCATAAATACTATGTATCTTTTTATAAAATGTTGTAGCTTAAAACATGTATAAGTTAAACTGATTTCGGATATTTTGCCATCAGGCACGTAGCCAGAAAAAATGTTTATTGGAGGTGCCAACAATTTTGGGCACTTGTATCATTTTCCATAATGTTTCCCATGAAAATCTTGTGGGGGAGGGCTCTCTCCACTCCTCCATAGACAGTATCCCATACTATGAATGTTACAAGTTCAAAATTTTACCATTGGTTGATTAAAAACAAATTGTTTTCGTATAAAGTATACTAATTATTACAGTATTATAAAAAATGGATAGTACCTATAATTAAAAAAAAAAAAAAAATACTTTCATCTTCACTATCGGGATAAATTTTTCATATTGTGAAAAATAATAAAATAATGATGTGAACATAAGTTGATTTAATTTTTCAACTTTTAAGCTATTAAGAAAAAATAATTTATACCTAAATACTAATAACAAATAAGTAATAAATAATTTTTAAAATAAATATAAATTATAAACAATGTAAAATTTATTTTATTTAAAATTAAAAACAATTTCTGCCTTTTTTTAGTCATATTGTTATTACTATTATTTAGAGCACGCAAATAACAAATTAACAAAAACAAATAAAATACCTATTGTAACTACTAAATTATAAAAAAAGAACAAATTAAAGAAAAGATTTATCAAACAAATTTTCATAGAGTATTACTCTATCGAATTTTGTAATCAACTAGATACTAATCAATTCAGATACTTGGTAGTTTGTTATCATTTGTTGGACAAGAGTTAAAAAAAATTTACCTACAACCACATTTGGAATAACTGCTATTCCATTTATTATTACGTCTAGAACGTTATCTTTTTCAAATAACATTTTCTATGAATATAAAAATGAAAATACAGCCATAATAATAACTGTATTACCCAATAGTAATGACAAATTAATAATAATTTCAATGTATTAAGGCCTAGCACGTTTTTGATAATTCGTAAAAATAATTGAATTTTAAATTTGGGGGAGCCGGCCCTGGGTCACATTAAATTTAAAGGGGCCAGGCCCACCTATATCTACGTGCTTGTTTGCCACACAGCTGCATTGAATAATATGTTATAAGTAAAATATTGACACGTAAAAGAGTATGTTGTTAATTTGGTATTTTTACATGTTACGTCTCTAAGGCAGTATGTATTGAAGTAGTTTGTGGTTTAATTACTAAAACTTGTTGAATGCATTGGGTTGTCATTTCTACCAAGAAGAGACATTTTCTTTTACTTATTAAGATAACGTGACTAATATTTCATTCCTATTTGAAAGAAACTAATACATATTTTTTTAAAATCAAAAACAGTATTTCATTCAAAATAAGGCTTTAAAATGAAAATTATAACATCAACCTATGATAAGTGTTAAGTCTTTAGAAACTCTTATTCAATTGAATAGAAGTTGAATAGGTAGGTGTTAGAAATTAGCTAAAATAATAGTGTTTACTTTATTTACTTATTAGAAAAAATAAAATTAGATATATATACTAACTAGTTTTTTTAGATTATGATTAGTTACTCTGTATAGTGTAATAATTTATTTAAACAAATGGGTAACAATCGATTGTTATTAACTCATGTTTTAACTTAAATATTTATTATTTAAAGAATAAAACTTCAAAATATTTTAATACTATAGGGGACTAGACTAGTAATCAGAAAAGTGGTGTTGTTGGGGGTTACGTATGAATAATATTTTTACTACCCCTTCTAAAATTCATCTTCATCATATATTTATTTTTAACATGGGGGTTCATAAATCCATAGGAGAACACTCGATAGTCTAGATTAGCCCTAGCTTTTTTCATCCAATTACATTAATAAAAAAAACGGTTTTTTGAAGTCTCCTATTAATCACTTTTATCATTATATCCTACGATTATGATAAAACTTCTTCGGTTTATGTGGAATATCGAAGTTTTAATACTTTTCTGACAATTTACTATTTTTCTGTTGTAAATCAAATAAAAAAAAGTTGTTACTTAGCCGACAAATGATATCTGAAGGTTCAGTTTATCGTAAAAAATAATTTTAACATAGAAATAACTATTTTTCATCAGTCAATGCATTACTCATTACACTGAATTGGACTTCGACCACAATGACACAATTTATGTCTTGATTAGTTACGTAATATAAATATTTATTTATTTTAGTAATAAAGAAATTTCAGTAAATCTACTACGTTTTAATAACCTTAATTCTAATTTTTTAAGCGTCATAACCATAATCAATGTATAAATAGATTCAAGATCAAAAAATCATAATTGGTATTTTTTTAAGGCACACAAATCTATAGTTTTTTGGCTATACGATACTATTTTATTAATGAAAAGTAATGAAACGTATTGTTTATTATGAATATAACAATCTTAGATTAATATAATATTTATTGTTGTTTTTTTGTCAGAAAATGATACTTTTTATTATATTTCGATATAATAACTTAAATTTTATTCACCATGCCATCAAAACGCATATATTTGTGTTTCCATCAATGGTTTAATGTAAATACTACATATATGTGTAATAAGCGTATTTAGTTCCATACAGCGTGACGTAACATGTTTTTTATTTGTTATCGCACTAATATTTCAACATTATCACTTATCAATTTATAGCAATCATTTCATGTCGTTAAAATCTTTTAGTCCATTGTATTTTTTTAATTTTCAATGAGTTTTTACGGTAAATTTTTGTGTTGACTTTGCTACATTACCATAATATATTTAGTCTTACATAAAATTTTAGACCTGTCAATTATTATTTGTGACTATTAATTAATAGTTTGTTATTTATTAGAATTCCTTGATTTATTAACAAGTATTTAAAGTTAATTAATGATATTTTCAAATCTTTAACGTGAAAATTTTCTTCAGATCTTTATACTATGCTTATTTTTATACTTTCCAAAAATTAAGTTCTTTGTAAAAATTCAATTAAGTATAAAAAAGCTAATGGTAAAATTATACCAATTAGTTATGAATCACGACCAAGAAGAATTACAGTAAGTGTATTTTTATTGTTATTTAAAGTATTGTAATAATTTAAGGATGAAAATGCTATGCATACGTACACTAAAATATTGATGGAACTCAATCAATATTATCAATTAATTGAAATTAATTTTGTTTAATTAATTATTTTGCCCAATTTCATTATTTATAATAATGATTTTTTTGTATGTACTATAAATGTTTTATTTTTATAAGTATTTATTTAAGTTTCTATTTCTATATATAGGCATATATTGTTAGTCTAGGATTAAAGAAATATATCAACCAAATCTTTATGTTTCATGGGATTGAAATAAAATTTTTATTTTTATTTAAACTAATAAAATAATTCTATTTTTTAAAAAATATTTTATATATTAGTTGAAATAGACTAATTATTAGAAAGTTACAACTTTGGATGATATTCTCCTTTAATTCTAGATCCTTGCCATCATCTATCTGTAAGAATAGTGCTAGAACTTGAAAAAAAAAATAGTTTTTAAAGGAGGCAAAATAAATTAAAAAATTCTATATTATTAAATTTTTTACAAAACTCTTTAGAAGAAACTATTATAGCTAGTTTAATGAATCTTTATTTTTTTTTAATTTAATGTTTTTTATTCATTTTGGTGCATAAATTAGAAAATGAAAAATATTGAGTTGTTTTACTTTTATATGTACTTTGTACACCAAAAAGATTAATTTTACATAGTGTTGTATAAAAAAAAGAAAACTTTGAACTTGATTGTTTGTTTCAATATTTAAAAAATGATACTTGTACTCTTGGATTTCAAGTTCTTCATGTACGAGGTACTTGAAATGTATATTTTGGTACGACAAAGATGAAGAATAAAATACTATGTATATAGTGTGTGTGAATGCTGGTTGACATAGTATGCTCGGCTACATAACACCTGTTGTTATTGAGATTAACAAAGAACTGTTGTTATAGAAAGGATAAGAGAGAAACACCTAAGTATAAGGTGCACACAAAATGCAAGACACAAGTACATAAGTTAAACGGGGGAAAGTAGCCAAGTATGAGGTGAAGATATCTTATTAATCTTAACTTTTGATAATGTATATAATATTAGCAAACTAACTTTTATTTAAATTTCTGTAGTGAATCAAAAAGTTACATTTTTCTGTTTTTTTACTTTTAAATAAACTGAATGTGACTTACGTTAGTCTAGTTCTGAAGTTCAAATATATGTCCTCCATATCGATTTCTTAAAATTTTTTTCAATATTATGAACGAAAAAAATCTTAAATTTTTTGTGGCATGCTATCTAATAAAAACTTCTAGGAATAGTAAAGTCTGCATAAAAATAAAATGATAAATATACTTTATTATTAGTTTTCTTTCTCTTATTTTTTTTTTAATATTCTTTAATTTAAATTCTAAATATAAAATCAATTATTAAATTTTTATTTATTTATATAAATATATTGAATTTATTGTATTGAACTTTTAGGAGTTTAATAGCAACTCGAGAGGAACATAAAGATTCACAATGCTGGCGGTTCTGGGGAAAATTGTTTTTGTCTCTTCTTGGTATTATATTATTATTTACTGGAATCATAATGACTGGTTTGTGGCCACAAATATTTGACAACATTATGAAAGATGTAATTAACTTAATCTAGATTAGATTTATACATTCAATGCTAAAAAAATAGTAGAAAATTGAATTAATAACTTGAGAATAATAATTTATTGTTTTTATTTTTAAGTAATGATTAAAATCATTTTGAACAAAACCTGTTAAGTTAACCCTTAATTGGTTCTACATACCTAAAATCATCTTTGCTCTTCAGAATTTTTATTTATTACCTTTATCTCATTGTTTTTATGTTAAATTTTTAGTTTTAAATTATTCAAAAATGATTACAAGCTGAGCAGGGTTGTAGCAACTAATTATTGTACTTGTGGTAAAATTTTAAAATGTGCCAGTATAGAAATATAAATAATAATAATAAATTAAGCTTGAAAAAATGTTTCAATTACAATAAATATTATGTTTTTTTACCTTTTAATAATTATTTTATAAGTATTTGTTATTTTATTTAAATAACTACATTTTAACGCTAATAATTTTATTTAAATCTGTAACTTTTAAATAAAATTCTACAAAGAAAAAATTATAAGCAACATATTAATATTTAGTACGTAATAAGTATAGATTCATAACATTTACAATACATTTAGTATTAATTTTAAATATTATCAAATTAAAATTTTTTTAGCTTTTTTCCTAGCAAAGTCTTCAATGAGTTCGTTTGTATCCAAAGTATGTTTGATTGACAAAATAGCCAAATTAGATAAACAATCTTTCCAGTTGTTGATCTCAATTAGCTTTTAATAAGTTTTAACATACTGAATGATTTTTTTTTTTTAACAATTATTGGCAAAGTCAAAAATATGTGTAAAGCTATTTCTACGTTTGGATACTCGGCACATATAAAAAATTTTGTAATTAATTGAAGTAGGTCTAAAGGTACTGCGACTCTAGTAAAAGAGATAATGCTTGGGACTTAAAATCTTTTATTTCAAAAATAAAATCAGAAGCATTTAAATTGATTTCATACTTAAGGGATAGATCAATTGCACATTTTTGTATATAGTTCAACAAGTAATACAAAAACTCAAAATTTTAGAAATTTTTTCAAATAAATCTTTTAGTTCAGTAAGAATTCCGTCATAAACTTCAAATATATCTTTTTGAAGTCATTCTGTTTAGATAATACTTGCATATATTCTTCAATTAATTCAACAAACACTTCAATCGACTTCAAATCTTTCATTTTACAATGTTTGAATTTACAAAATTAATTTTTTAACCATTTTGGATGCACTATCAATGGTTAACACGATTAATTGTTTTTAATATTTTATTTCATAAATTCAATAAACAAATCTTTAGATGAATTTGGATTTTCTTATATTTCTTTTAAAACATTAAATATATTTTTAATATTTTGGTTAAGACCTGTTACAGAATCTTGTTTAGCAAACCACCATGTGTTGAATTAGTACATTTTAATAAAATGATTATATTTTTCATTAATTATCTATCTACTAGTTATAAATGAAAAAAAGTTAAAAATTTGTTGAACTGTGTCGAAGAATGTTATCATCCATGTGCATAACTTAATATTTATCTAATGTTGTAAGAAGCCCTTCAATTAGTAGTTTTTGTTTTCTGAAATTTTGTTAATTTTAATAGAAATTTGTGACATATAAACTTATTTAATGACTGCATAAGTTATAGGTCAATTAATGTATAGTATAATTTTCATTATAAATACATTTATTATATAATATAATAAATAATTTAAAATATCTATTAGCTATAACATACAGGTGCTAATTAATTTAAATGAATAAATTGTAAAAGATACACATTTTTATTTCATATTAATTTTAATGGAAACCATTTTTTTGTAGAGATTAGAGTTAAAGAATAACACCCAAACTTATAAATTTTGGGAAAAAATTCCTGTGCCATTAGAAATGGAAGTATATTTATTTAATTGGACTAACCCAGAAGATACTTTGCAAAATAAATCAAAACCAATTCTTCAACAGTTGGGACCTTATGTTTTTATGTGAGTAATTTTGAATATATTAAAGTCATTTAAGTATTAATTGAGAAAAAAAAATTAAATTAAGTAAATTAATTTTTATTTTATAAAATTATAAGTTACAAACAAAATTAATTATCTGAAGGAAACTAAATTAATAATTTCAGTGAAAATCGAGTTAAAGTCAATCAAACTTTTAATGATAATTCTACAATAACTTATATGCAAATGAAAAGTTGGCATTTTCAACCTTCACTATCCAATGGTAGTTTATCTGATAAAGTTATTACAATTAATATAGTACTGAGTGTAAGTCTATTTTAATATTATTATTATTTCAATACTTAAACATTATTTATAGGTTTTAGGTGAGAAATTGAAACAGATTAATAAACATTGGGTTTATGTACTTACAAATTACTATTTAAAATTTATGAAAATTAATCAACCATATGTTATAAAGAATGTTAATGAATTGTTGTTTGATGGATATGATGATCCTATATTGGATTTAATTACAAAACTAAAACATTTCATACCTATTAATTTACCAGTAAAAAAAGCAGGTTGGCTGTATGGGGTAAGAAAAAATATTACTCATAAATAATTCTTATATTTCAAAATAAATATAATATTTTACTAAATAAATTCGCTTCTTAATTAAGTTTAGTAAATAAACTAGTTACTTACTATATATACTAAATTGGTGTGTTTATTAAAAAAAATTTTTGGGGAGGAAAGGCTTAAGAAAATAAATGATAAATTATTTAATAATAATGCAAGGCTATATTATGAAGGAGAGTAGAGGATCAACCTAAATGTTTTTAAAGTTCAAAAATTAAATTTACAGAATTTTTTTTATACAAACACGAATCCTACTATAGTGTTAACATTTACCATGTATTATATATATATATATATATAAACAAAATGATTCTTTTAACACTAGCCTCTAAATTTTTCTTAAAATAATAATTTTTTCAAATTTATTTGTTATAAAATATTTTTTATGTTCATCCCTTATTTCTTATATGGGTGTCAACTTAATTTTTTTAAATGAAAACATACTTATTTAACTAGCTTATAAAATAGAAAATGTCTGGTCAATAACAAATTTTGGACCAGTATTTCAGAAGTTATTTAAATTTTTATACTTGGGAGGTGGAAAGATTACTCGTTGCTGAATATAGTAGTAATATTTTTATACCTGATTGAGAGGAGGAGTGAACCCAAAAAATGTTTATTGATAAAAATAGCAGCACTCAATCCTTACTCAATTCCAGTCATTACTTTAAATTGTTGATAACTTCTGAAATACTCATCCAAAAATTATAAAATATATAATATTTTTATTGTGCATTTCTGCATGAGTCAATAATCATCGTTTAGTACATTATTTTTGTAATTATGTCATCCGTTTGATCTAAAAATAAAGTCTATTATTATTATTAATACAAAACAATAAACTCGTACTTGCCTAGTTTTATTGTTTTAAATAAAATATTACAATCGGTTTTGTATGCAATATGTAGCTAACGAGTATTGATTATATGAAAATGTAAGACTTCTTATGGATCTAAGGATTCTTATGTGTCTTCTGGGGGAGACTCCGCTCTCTAGAAATTTAGCAAAATTAGATGTATTGTTTTATAAAATTATTTTTAGAGGGAAAAAAATTTCATTTAGCCACTCTCTCAAATAAGTTACCATCCAATAATTATGCTCTCTGAAAATTAGTTTCAGCTATAACTTTGCTCCAAAGTACCAAAAAGTATGTAGTCACGAATTTTTGAAGGATCTCAATCTTCATAAATATGTTTCTAATAATAAATATTCAATGCTAATACTTTTAAAAAGTATATTTTATAAATATAGTATTTATATTCTATTTAGATGAACATGAGTACAACAGCAGATGGTTTGGTTAATATGTATACTGGTCAAAATGATATAGAGAAAGTTGGTATAATACATTCAGTGAATTATGAATCTAAATTAAACATTTTCAACAAAGACTGTAGTTATGGCTATGGGTCAGCTGGTGATTTATGGCCAGAACATATGGCTGCTCAGCCAAATATATCACTTTACATTCCAAACATGTGCAGGTATTGAATATACTTTTTTATTTCTATTTTAATTTCCTCTCAATTTAATTGTTGTGTGAGAGAAGATGGGAAAAGCTGTACAGCTCAGCAGTGCGGAAACAAACCTTGATATATGAAACCAAGGTAAGATGCATTCCCAATCTAGCCATACAGACCACTTATTGTAGACTACTCTAAATGTCTAGATAAATAACTATTCATCGCTATTATAATTATGGAACATGATTGTGTTTTAAAGTTTCCATGGATTGTTGTATTATTTAGAATATTTATTTTATGATAATAATTACATAGTTACAATTTTTTAGTGCTATTACCTTAACCAATACTGATTATATATTGGTAAATGATATTAAAGGAGTAATATTTGCTGGAGGTCAAGATGTTTTTAATAATTCATGTTATTGTACAACACCTAAATGCCAACCACCAGGTGTACGGTCTTTAAATTTATGTGATGGAAATTCTCTTCCATTGTTTGTATCATATCCACACTTTTACCTAGCAGATAATTTTTATGGTGAAAAAGTAATAGGAATGCAGCCTAATAAATCTTCACACGAGTTTAAAATCATTCTACAAAAAGTAAGTTTAAATTAATTTTTTTTTATCATCCTATTAACATTATTTGAAAACTTAGGACTATTCAATACCACTTCATGTTGATGCAAGACTTCAATTTAATGTTCATACACAGCCAATAAAAGACTTACAGTAAGTCTCATTATTTGATATTAACACGAAAGAGATATATTTTATTTTCTTATATTTTTCTTAGTATTATGAAGAATTTGACAGATCTCTTTCTTCCTGTATTCTGGTTCACCGAATCATTCCATATGTCAAAAAATATATCTGATGAACTAATTATAGTTACAAATACAATACCAAATGTTATACCTTATGTGTGGTTAATTATGTCTTTAATAGGATCCACTATGTTAATTTTCAGTGCTTATTTATGCATTATTAAGAAAAATAATTCATTTGGTGTTTTAGACCCAATATGATAAACATGAGTGATTTAGATAATTTATGTATAAACACTTGAAAATTAATATTTATTTAAAAAATAGATAATTTTTAAATTACTATTTATAATATTGAAAACAATTATATTTTATATCTTTATTGTTATATTTATTCAATAGTGTTTTTATTTTAACTTAATTTAATTAATTTTAGACTTGTAAATAAAGTTAAGGTTTAAAATATTTGTTCTATATAATAATTATTAATTGATATTAGTCATGCTAAGTTTTTTATTGTTATAGTTTAAAATGACTGAAAACTTTAATTGTAATACTATGATACCATTTTTTAATTATTAATATAACTCATGTAAGTACTAAAAATTAAAAAAAATATTTATTTAATTTCTTTTTTTATTTACTGTCATTATTTAATTCATAAACAAAAAAGTTCAGTTATCCTGTCTTTTCATTTCAAACATAATATATATTTGTGTTACACATTTTATATTGAAATATCAGTGATTATTGAAAGCATATCTTAAAAAAGTATTCATTTTTTATTTATCTCCATACAGTGAATGCTAGTAGTTATTTTTGATTGCTTACTACTGATAGTTAAGTTAGCATATATAGGGTGATATTTAGTTTCTTAATTATCCTTTTATTATTTTAAAATATGTTAGACATAGAACTCATTGGACTACATAATATTTTTTATTTATTTTATAACATATATATAAATTACAATTATTAACATACATGATTATTTTTAAAAATGAATGCTTATAAAATATTTATAATTATAGTTATTGAAAATACATCTATTGGTATTTTGATCTATTACAAAGTAATAAATTAATTTTTATGTGTTAAATTAAATCAATTATTGACCATTTTTAAATTAATGTGTTAAAAAATTAATATAATTAAACATATGTGTTCACTCTTGTTACAAAATGATTTTTTATGCTAATATATCAACATTAATAATTAAACATTTTTTAAAATATATATATATATATTTTTATAACTGAAAATACAAAATTTATAAATAAGAACTATTCAAATGGATTAGGCGGAAGATCAACCAATTGCTCAGGCAAAGGCAGAGGAGGAAAATGTATTTCATAAGACGGAGAAGAAGAATCTACAACACCTGTGTCAATCACTTCAAAAGGATCAACTGCAGCTAAATCATTTCTAAAATATTAGATTTTTTAAAAATAAATAAATTATTGATTTTTATAAATTACTCTCTCACTTTAGTGTTTTTGGTATGTCAAGATCATCAAAGTTAATTTCCTCTTCTTCAAGTTTTTCCCATACTTTAACTAGACACATATCTTTTAAACTGGGATCTAAATGAAAAAACAATTAGTCAAAAAAAATTTTTTATTGATTAAAATAATCATTTACTGAGATCTAAAATATGAAGGTCATCGTGATCTTTTAGTTGGTTGAAAAGTTGTTCGGTTAGATCATAATCCATTTGTCTCAAAGGAATAGGAGGTTTTGGTGGTATGGGACTAGTTCCACCAGATATAAATACTCTATTTTCAATTACTAAACAAATTTGTCTTCGTCTAGCACATGGTGATACACCTTTTGGTGTAATGGTCATCCAAGTAGAACTAGTAGGATCATAACGATTTATATCTTGGAAATGAAGATTCATATTTCTATTGAAGCCTCCAAATATGTATAAAAATCCGTTATGATAAACTATAATAAGTTGTATAAAAATGAGGTTGTTTATATTTTTATAATAAATTTATGTAACATACAAGCAGAATGACTACGTCTACCAGGAGGTTTATTGCTGTACACATTAGGTCGTATCCAAGTATGCGTTGTAGTGTCGAAGTAATAAATTTCTGAACAGTAAACTTCTCTGTCAGTTATTCTGGGTGCATGCACATCCCCACGACCTCCAAAAACATACATTTTGTTATCAATTGCAGTAGCAGTATGAAAATCTCTAAGTGATGGTGGAGTTCCCTAAAATTACAATTTTTAAAACTATGAAAAAATGTAGAATTTTTTGTTTAAATAACCTCTGTTCTGATTTTGTGCCATGTCATAGAACGGAAATCAAACATACATAAGTCCTGAGAGAATTGGCTTTCTTGAAAGCCACCATAAATATACATACAATAATTAATTATACAAGCAGAATGACCATCTCTAGGTACTGGCTTATTTCCAAATGTTACTGGTATAGACCATTTTAATACATCTGCAAAAAAAAAAAAAAAAAACGAACTAATACTGTTTAGTCATTCAATATTAACATCAAATTTAAATACAAAGAAATTGATTAATCATTGATCACTAACTTCCTCTAAAATAATAATAATAATTATGTTTTGTTTTGTAGTATTAATTGTTGAATGGAATAGGTTATGTAATTAAAAGATTTAGAAATTATTCGTAATATAATAGTATTTAATATAAAATATCAAAACATATAATATAAGAGATGTACAACGGCAACGGGTCACTTTACACGATAGACAGCGAAACTACGACTAAACTGTAAACATGTATACAATAGGCTGCTTAGAGTAAAACAACATAATCGTAAAAGGAATGTGTCCCTTTGACCTTGTACTATACTAACATAAGTAAAAATACATTAAACTGTTATATTAAATAATATTACTGTACTCAGTGTGTTGTTTAATAATATCAACACTTCCCCTTAAACAATACACCCGTACATAGTTAAATAAAAAATTATAAATCTATATATCTAATTCCTAACATTTCTCTGAGTTTTTGAAATCTTGTTTGTGGTATTGGCTTGGTCAAGATGTCAGCTAACTGCTCTTTGCTGGTCACATACTCCAGTGAAAACATCCCTTCATTGAACTTCTTCATTGAAGCTTCTTTTTATTTGAATAAGGAATATTTTTTCGATTGTTAAGAGTAATAACTTAAACTAAATACGAATTGTAATAATTTGACGTATCGTTGAAAAAAGTTGGTCAAGTGAGGGTTAGCAAAATAAATCGTAGACACAAAAAAAACTACATAGTAAAATAATATTAACATGAATATAAATTTCTTCTCACGAGGGGAGACTATAGTGATGGAATCTTAGATATTGAAGTTATTGAATCTAAATGAGATAAATATCAAATTATTTGAAAATTTTATTCTAACTAAAAAAAAATGCTAAATTTTCTTGCCCACAGACGGATTTGAACCTGATGTACTTATAATGTATTTAGAAAAAAAAATTTGTGCTGATACATACATTTTTTGAAAAGTTATAGCATTTTTAACTTGAAAGTTTAAAATCGAAAATAGAAAATTTTAATACAAAAATAGCGTTTTTTTAACTACAGCAGTCGTTTGCATGTAGAAGATAAAGTGTCGGGACAAATATTTTTTTTTCATTTTACAGTACATAAAATAAGCTTTAGTTTGATATATGTTTAAAAGACGCAGTATTTCTGGAACATTTTCAAAAATTAAGTTGAAAAAGTAAGTTTTTGTAAAAAAGTTGCTATTTTAAATCCCCCCCAGTGAGCAGGTTAAGTGTTAAATTTAAAAAAAAATGAAAGGGAAATATCAAAGGTTTTAGTATAAAAAAAAATTATGTTGATTTGTTGATTTTTGAAAAAGTTATGGAAGTTTTAAGAAAAAAATGAAAAAATTTACCGAATTATAAATTTGTAATTTTTTTGAATATTTTCCCCATTTGCGGGGAACGAGGGTATTTTTTTTNTAATTTTTTTGGATATTTCCCCCATTTGCGGGGAACGAGGGAAAATTTTTAAATTTTTAAGGGTAATGTCTTCAACTAGATACGATTTGTGATCTTTTGACGTATTGTTGAAAGAAATCGGTCCAGTGAGAGCTGAGAAAAAGTAGTGACAGACACAAAAAAAATTAAACACATCATGGTAAAATTAATACCTTCTCAGCTTCGCATTTAAGCTAAAATTAACTTTGTAACAGTTATGATTATTTCTATACATATTTTTGATTACTTACGGGTATCAAAACAATATAATGTATTGCATGTTTCTTTATCGTTTCGGCCACCCCACAAGAATACATTGTTATTGTATGCTACAGCTGTATGGCCATATCTTTGAAATGGAGTATTTTCACATTCATGATCTTGAAGTTCTAATTTCCACCATTTTAATTTAACTAAAACAAATTGTTATTTAATAAATCTACCGCTGTTAGGTTGTTACTTGTACTTACTAGTATCTAGTACATGTATATCAATAGGTTTAAAGTTTTTATAATCTGCTCCGCTACAGTATCCACCAAATGTGAATATACTAGAGTCAATTGCGACAGCAGCATGATTTACACGTCTTGGACCTCCATGCATATGAAAAGTCCAATACATCTTATAACAATTTTCACTATTGTTTGATTATGGTGAAAGTACAATAACCTCCTTTGTATATTAATTACATTAAGCATATTACTTTATCATAATTCTACAAAACAGATAAAATTTTGAAAACTATAAGTTCAATATTTACATTAATAATATTTTTAATAAAAATAATTTATGCGAAAATTAAAAAAAACTTGGCTAGTTACTTTGGCTAGCTACTTACTTTTCTCACTGGATAAATATAGTACGAAAAAATAAAATAAAAACTTAATCATCTAGATAATCATAGAAATAAACGAATTATAAGTAGGTATTTTTGTAATAATACTTTTGTTATAATAGAAAATGTTCAAAATTATTAAATCACGTCATAGACGAAGACATAATACAATTCTTACAGTTAATTTTCACTAATTTGATAATCGTGACCTATCAATGATAAGAAAATATTATTTGATAATTATCAAATTGTAGATTAGTAAAAATATATAAATAATAACAAAACTAAGTTTATAAAGTTTTATATGTTGTTAATAATAAATATATATTAGTCTACTATCTTTTGGTCAAAATTGTTAAATATTAAATTAAATTTTAATGTAAACTAATGAAATATTTTAGTATTATTTTAATTTTAATAATTTAAATGTTACATTTTTTAAAACCATTTAAACTTCTTTTGGGTTTTTAGATACTAATTATTTTATTATTTTTTCTAAGCAACTTAACCATCATTTGTTAATTTTCTTTTTCTTTTACATTTATATTTAATACATATATAAACATGGAATTCAGAACACAAGTTAAAAATGAAAGTGATATTGAAATTTGGGAAAAGTCTGAAGCATATGATGTTTGTATATGTAGATATATATATACATCAGTGTAGTAAAAATTATTATGAAATATATTTTTGGTCCTGTGTAAAAGGAACTGTTGACAATTTTATTAACTTTTCGAGAGAGTACTTAAAAATATTTATTATTAACTTAAGTATAACCTTAAAGTCATTATATTATACTTAGAAATCAAAATTTTCCATTGAATAAACAATTAATGAAATTAAATATAATATTACATAAAAATATTATATCACATTAAAACTAAATTTAGATATTTTTTTCATTATAAAAACTTTAAATACATCTTCGGACAATTTGATTTTTTAGTTAAATTTGAGCGGTAATTATTCACTGGTAATATAGCTTAAAACAAAATTTTTGTTTTCAAAATTTAATGTAATATATTATAGATTGAAGAGACCTTAACTTATGTCGAATTTTCTATTTCATACTTAATTGATTTTTAGAATTGTGTATTATCATCTTATAACATTAGTACTAATTTTATTTTAATAAATTTTATATACACATATTGATAAGCTTGGATTAAGATGTTGTGAGACTTGGGGTCAAATATTGAATGAGGCCTCTGTATAATAGCATCATCCAAGCTTAATGTTTTGCACTGTATTTTAACAAAGGAAATGGATCCATAATCCAGACTATGTGTTAAACTAATATTTTATTTTTAGGATTATATTGGTTTTATAATTGCTATGAATAAATCTATTTACGCCATACCATTAAATAAACCTTTAGTTTTATCTGACCAAGTTAAACAGGTCTTAAGTATATTAAATATTATCAATGATTGGATATCTGAAGTTGAACCATTAAAAGAGAGCTGTAGATTTGGCAATAAGGCTTTTGCAAAATTTTACAACCTTTTAAAAATTGTAAGATGATAAGCTATTTGTATGTTTATAATAGAAATTTAATTAAAGTAAGTTAATTTTTAGAAAATTCCTGATATACTATCAAAAGAATTTTCTTCAGTTGAAAATCAAATTTTAACAGAACTTGCAACATATTTAATTGAAAGTTTTGGAAATTCTACGCGTATTGATTATGGTACTGGTCACGAGTTATCATTTTGTATGTTTCTTTGTGGTTTATTTAAAGTAAATATATTGAAAAAAGAAGATAGTAAAGCAACAGTAAATATAATATTTGCAAGGTTAGTTTATAAGAAATTAAATAGTTAATATTATTTTAGTTTTTAATTATTTTTATGTATTTAGGTATATAGAAATAATTCGAAGACTTCAAATTAGATATCAAATGGAACCTGCTGGAAGCCATGGTGCTTGGAGTCTCGATGACTATCAATTTGTGCCCTTTATTTGGGGAAGTGCACAATTAATAGGTAACATTTTATTTTAAATATAATGCAGTTATATTTAATACTCATTTAATATATTTTAGAAAATCCTGATCTTACTCCAAATTTATTTGTTGATGATAAATATGTACAGCAGTTCAAGTCAAAATATATGTTTCTTGGATGTATTGATTTCATAATGCAAGTAAAAAAAGGATTATTCCATGAACACTCTAATCAGTTATGGAATATAAGTGGTGTTCAGAGTTGGAATAAAATTAATGATGGTTTAATTAAAATGTATAAAAAAGAGGTAAACTAACTTTGTTTATGGCTAAAAATTTTTAATTAACATATTAGAAATATTTTATAGGTATTAGGAAAATTTCCAATCATCCAACATGTACCTTTTGGAAATCTATTTAAATACAAATCATGTACTAAACAACAAACACCATTATTAGCATCATTTAAAATTCCAACATAATAATTATTAAAAAATTAATAAAGAAATACGGACAGAACTATAAACTAATAAAAAATTAACTTAAGTTGATTTATTTTTAAGTAAAATATTTTATTAAAGCATTCAATTATACTTTTTTATAAGTTGATTTTTATGATTAATAAATATTGGCTTTATATTTAATACCTGTTGTACATGTAAATTATAATTTCTAATACTTGGCTTATGTATACATGAATATTTAAATAACTGAGATTTAATTATTCAATAATGTCTCAATTCAAGGTTACATATTCTATAATTTTATTTGTAGTTACTAATTTATTTGTATGAAAACATTTATGTTCTACAAATACATAACTAATTGTATACTATAATTTGTATTAATAAATAATTTTATATTAAAAATATTATTGAAATAGACTTTATATTAATATTATTAAATTAATTAGTGAATATATCATGCATTCCTTGTATTAGTTGAATTATTACATAATTTAAAGTATTAGCATAACTTCTTTACTATTTGCAAATTCATGTAAATTATTATGAATTATAATATAAAAAACTAAGCAATGCAAGATAAATTTAAATGTAATATTAAATTTTGTAGTGAAATATATTTATAAGTACTTTTTGTAGTTATCGTCTATTGACGAAAATGGTGATACAGTTAAAAACTACTTTACCAAAATAAATAAAAATATTTTGAGTTGTATCATAAATTTTTTTTTTTATATAAATATTTGCTAGTTCTTAAATTTAAGTAGTTATCAAATAATATAGAAGTCTATTTTATTTGTTATCCTGTAAAATGTTTTTCTTAAAAACTCATTCCTGTGTCAGATGTAATGTTAGTAAAAAATTATGAAAATAGAAATAAAAAAAAATAATTGTATTGGTGATTTAAAAAATTTCATACAATTTTTAATATTTAATAGGGAGGGTTATGAATAATCAACTTAAAAAAACAGCTTATTTTTATGGTGATGTTATTAGTAGAGAAAAAATTTGGTCCAAACATTCCATATTTACTGAGATTTTTTTTTTTCTTTTCATTCTCATTACTAAAACTATGTTAACATAGTAAAAATTTACTATGATTTTTTATAAAAAATTAATTAAAGCAAAAATTATAATAAAAATATAAAATAAATGTTAAAAGATCTTGCATTTAGATAAATATTGTGGTAGTTACATTGCACAACTAGGTGTGCCGAAAAGTTATTCCTTTAAAAATTTGGAAAATTGATTTATCCTTAATAAAAATTATATTCTAGTGTCTTTTTCTTTAATTTCTATGTTATATCAAAAAATATATTACAATTTAATTATAATGAAATAAAATATTTAAGGAAATTAATTTTAAAATTATCTTTTCCATTTAACATTTCATAATTATTAATTATATACTTTAGTAAGCTATTAAATAATGTAATAGAACCTACTTTTATTAAAATCAATTAAAAATATATCTATTTTACACATATATTCTTTAATGATAAATAATATTAAGATAAAAAATAAGAATAATTGAGTTTAACATAAAATCACATAATTAAAAAAAAATACATAGCTCACACAAACATAGAATCTCAGTAAGATAATTACACATATATATATATATAAATATAAAAAAAAAAAAATTGAACAAGAATTGCAGTTTCCTTGATTAGAAAATTGATTTTTACAAAACTAACTGTATTTAAATTTAAATAATAAATATTGAATAATTTACTTCTTTTTTCGAAGTTTTGACATATGATGAAGTGCTCGTGCAGGAGTAGGTATAAAATCTAATGCATTATCCTAAATATAGATAACATAGTTTTAATTTATCAAAATCATTTAATATAATTAATGTACTTACAGTTACCATATTACTACTATCTGTTAATGGTGGTTTACTATCAAATAGTATACGTTTTTTAGTACTTTTTGAAATGTTATTAATAGCATCATCTAACAATTTATCACACATATCTGGTGTACCTGGAATGATGTGTATGACACTTAATTAAAATATAAGTATAACAGTTACAATATTAAATTTCAATAAAAGATATGTTCAATTTAAATAATAAGTAAAAATTAAATTATATCTAGTTGATCGTATCGTATCGTATTACTTTGCCCTTAGAAATTGAAAAAATTTCCATGATTCCCTGTAAATTGGGCAAATCTCCAAAAAATACAATTGGTAAATTTTTTTTCTTAAAACTCATTATTTTTTTAAAACTAAATTAATAAAAATAATTTCTTTTCATATAGAAACTTAAAGTATTTCTCTTTCATTTGATATAAATTTTTTGAAAATCTGACTATTTACCTGCCCACAGAGACGGATTTGAAAGAACAACTTTTTCAACTTAACTTTTGAAAATGTTCCAGAAATACTGTGTCCTTTAAATGTTTGTTAAAATAAAACTTATGTTACTACTATAAATTAAAAAAAAAAATTGTCTCTTAACAATTGGCTTCCGTAATTGAACAAAAAATGTGAATTTCATAAATACACATTCTATTGTTGTTATTTTTAAGTACTTAAAGCTGCCATAACTTTTTGAAAAATGAACGAACCAAAATCATTTTTTTTATTATAATAAATGATAGTTATTTTAATCACAGTCAGATATCATCTATAATTGGTCCAATTATGCCATGTGCACACTATGTTGCGACCCCACTATGCTATAATACCGTTTTATAACTAAAAGTCTATTGTACTATAAAATTTTTTCAAAAATAAAATGAATTCAAACTCTAGTTAAAACTTTATAGAATATAGTATATAGATAACTTCCAGAGCTTATCCATTAAAATGAAAATAATGTTAATCTCTTATTTTAATAAAAAAAAAAAAAAAAAACTTAATATTCTACTTAATACAAAATATAATTAAATATAATCTACTAACCTTCATTAAAATGTTTTATTTTCCTAAAAATAAAAATTTCTCTATTAATTAAATTATAAAAAAAATTTATATTTAAAATATTTATTATTACTAACTTTTTAGTAGATGAAGGAGTTTTATTTCTACATTTCCTTTGAGGTCTTTTGTCGGAATGACATTTGGAATTAACCTAGATATTATAAACATTTTAATCATGTTGTAAATTTTAAAAAGTAATATTAAAAAAAAAAAAAGTTTAAACCTCATTTTCTTTTCCTTCTGATTCTATTGTATACTCAGACTTAAAAAAAAAAAAAAGTTTATTAATAAATACAAATATATAAACTAGTGTATATATAGTTTACACAATACATACTATTATAGTATTACTAACATCAGTCAATACACCAATACTTTTCATTTCTGGTTTAATGCTTACAGTTTTCAAGTTTTCAGTCAAATTCTGATTAATACTCTTTAATTCGGAAGAAATATTTTCATTTTCTCTATAAAAATGATGTCAGAGTTACAAAATAAGCACAAATTAGTTTAACTACTTTAAATTACTTCAGTTTATATTCTAGCTCTTCAATATTCTCTTTTAACTTTGAAATAATAACATCTTGATCTAAAACGTAAAGTTAATTTATATTTAAAATTAGTGAAATAGATAGTTTAAGTTGTACTTAAATATTAATGTTTACTTTTTTATACAAAAATATAAACTATATCAACTATTTTTTTACAAATATTAGACAATTTTAACAAAAAAGTCAGGAAGTCAGCTGNTGGTATGAAGCAGAGAAGGCGACGTGGGCCGCCCTGAAGCAATGCCTCACGGCAGTTCCAGGGCGGTCCACACTAAAGTCGAGGAAGAAGGGAAAAAAATAAAAAAAAAAAAAAAAAAAAAAAAAAAAAAAAAAAAAAAAAAAAAGAATATACTAAATGTCATTGCAGGAAGAAGTAAAAACTCAAAAATTGTCATTTTCTTAATGTTGTACAACACATTAAATTTTTTTGAATAAATGAAAAATAAAAAAATTTTAATGGGGAGTTTCTTAAAATTAATTATTGGTTTTACTGCAGTCTTATCAAATATGAATGAGTATTAAATAGTTTATTTTGTTACCAGTAATTTTAGTTGAAAGATTAATATCGTTTGTTAAGTTTGCAGCATTGGCCTGTGATTTTAACTAGAATATAATAATGAATAAAATTAATGGAATATTTTTAACAATTTAATGAAAAAAATTACCACTTCTTTATAGTTTTGTCTCATTGTTTTAAATTGCCTAGCTATTTCTACTTGTTCTTCGCGACATTTTTTATATTTTCCTTTAAGTTTCATGTTCTCTTCTGTCAATGTATTGTTCATTTCTTGGAGATCTTTAATAGTTGCATTTAAACTAGCTATAGTTTCTAATTTTTCATCCATATATTCAATAATTTTTTGTTCAGCCTAAGTATTAATGATGATTAAAAAACACGTATACAAAATAAAATAACAAATAAAAGTTGTTTGACAAAATCTAGGGATAATTAAAAATTGGTAACAGTTGTCTTTGCAAATCTTAATATACGTAAATATTTTTTCCCCAGTAATTTGATAAGTATTTAATTAAATTTGTTTCCAATTTATTTTATATTTTATTTCAAGCTTTGTAAATTTTTTTTTTATTAAATTATTTATTTATAAATAATTTTTAAATAAACTAGAATATTAATTAAAAAATAAAAATAACACTAACAAGAATTTCTTGATTTAATTCCATTTCAGTAATTATACTATCTTTAGCATATACCGCTCCATTAAGTCTTTCAATTTCTAAGTCCTACAAAGAAAAATTTTAAATAGTATATTATTAAAAAAGTGATTTAAAAACAATGATATTTTATTAATTATGACAAACATGTTTACCTTTTCATCTAATTCCTGAGACATTTCACCATATCTATCACTTAAATCATTTAAAATCCTCTCTAATTTTTCATATTCTGTATTAGCTTCTACTATCATTGATTTATAATTCTAAAAATTAATGGTATATATATATATATAATATTTTATGTTAAGAAACAATAACCTTACCTCAATTTCTTGATTTTTTACATTTAAGTCTTCTTGACACAAAACGTTGACATTTTTAAGAGTCTAAAATTCATCCAAGAAAAATTAAAATTTCTAAATATTTAAATCTTTGCAATAATTTTCATTTATATAAGTAGTAAAAAATATATAGTGGTGTAATGTTTTGACAAATTTAAACTTTTTAATCTACTAAATATGTTAAGTTACTTTTTATTTTTTAATATATGCACTTTTTTAAAAATGTTAAAATCATATTATTAAAATTTTTAATGCGTTGATAAGAACTTTAGAAAAAATATTTAATTACAACTATTTCAATAAATAGAATAGGTATGTAGCACAGGTGGAGTATGTATTATACATATACACTAGCACAAGCCCTACCTTCCCACAATATATACCCTTTATTTGTATAAAAATACTTGTAACTCAATAAGTACTTATCCTAAAGTTGATAACGATCCAATAAAATGTTTTACTTTTTTTTTATTATTAAGAACAAATAATAAAAATTTTGATTTTAATATTCATGAAATACATAATTTAATATATATATAATATAACATAAAACATTTAGTAGACCAAAACTTATTAGATTTGTCAAAACATTGAGGTCCACCTGTGTAATTTATATATGAATTTCATTTAAGTATTTAATTGTATATTTTTCAGCTTACATTAATTTCTGAAATTAATTCCTCTTTTTGAATTTCTAGTTCACCAATTCTAAATTCATAATTTTCAACAGCACTTTTATTATTAGCAATGTCAAAATCAACCACAGCACGGGTGTTCACATTAATATTCTAAAAAAGTGAAAAAAATAAAATAAAAAAGTATTTAATTAAATCATATTAAATAATTAATTTTTTTTATTATAGTATATCCTAATCAAAATATATAAATTTGTTACTTATTTTATTTCAGCAATAGATATTTTTGGTTTATTTATACTTACTGCTAATTTTGTTTCTCGATCACGAATTTCTTCAGCATAATATTGTTTCAACCGTTTTATTTTATTTTCATAAAAGTCTGTTTTATTCTTAAGTGTTGTTTCTTTTTGTTTTCTAAAGTTAAGCAATAAAAAAAATTATATTTTTAAAAATAAATTCATCAAACTTGAATAATTAATATTTTTAACGCATACTGCCAAAATAAATTATTGTCTTCCAACATTTTTTGAAATTGAGAAATCATCTCTTTTCGTAACATTGTTTTTTCTTCATTAAGTCGTATTTCAAATTCATCATCTGCCTATTTTTCATAAAGTTATTCATATTAAATATAAATAATTTTCTGAAAACATCAAAATTTAAAATTTGATGTTTTCAGAAAATTATACGCAATAAAAATAAATAATAAAACTCTGAAGTAATATCATACCATAGATTTATTTCCAAAATTAGTTTCATCATTATCATTTTCTTCATTAATATCTAAATAATTCATATATATAAATTACAATGAAATAATTTTATAGAAATTATTATAAAAAAATTAATTCTAAGTACTTTCGTGTCCTTTAGCATTATTTTTATGGTTATTGGTAACCCATACAGCAAAACTAGGTCTTGGTTTTTTTGTTTTAGTTTTTGCAATGGCTCGTACTATTGCTGACATAAACAAAACTTGTTTAGTTTCTTCATACAAATTAGGAGATGTATCAACATTCACTGCCATAGAAATACCAGTATTATTTGTTCCCATTAAAGCGGTTTGAAACATTTGTGTTAATTTTGATTCTCTGTAAGGAACAAGATTATTTTCACCTCGTTTTTGATTTTCTCTAAAAATTTAATTAACAATTATTAATATTAGTTATATTAAAAAAATATAATTAATTACCGCAAAACAGAGAAGCATTTATTAAGTACAAGTAGGGATGTGTTAATGTTCTTAGATTCTTTTAGCCGATCTCCAATATTCATAGTTTTTTTAAGACGTTCAGAACCAGCCAAATCACAAAATGATATACTACAACAAATACATTTATTTTTCTAAATAAATAAATAAATTTCATTGAAATAGTAAACTTGTTTAGTAGGAATATATAGGTGCATTTATTTGGATTGAGTTATAACATATAAGGGAATATTATGAGGGTAAACATGTCAATCAAATTGTGTTATAAAAGAAATTGAATTAAAAATATGGTAATACCTGCTAGTAATGGCGGTTTTGGGATCAATAATATTTTCAACTCTCATTAATTTTAAAGTAAATATACAATGAGATCTACTTGACAATTTGTTTAAGTTATTACTTGCAATTTTTAAATTATTTCTTCCAAAGGACATAATTTTATAGGCTTCTTCGGCAGATTTAACACAGACATGTGTAAGATCTACATTTAAAAATAAATATTATAAATAGTAAAAATAAAAAATTCTTATTAAATTATACCTCTAACATATACATTTTTGTTTTGATCAAATGAAAGCTTCAGTGGTGTTCTTTTTTGAATATTAGAGTGATTTACTAAGAGATCATATATTGTCTCATTGTAAATCTCTGAATAAGTAACCCAAACTGAATAAGATACATCACCATGGTTTAACACTGCATTTTCATCATTCTTTAGAACTTCAAACATTTTTGTAATGTTGTTATAAGAAAGTTGATCAATGCTACTAACAGTACTACCTTCATCATAATTATTGGTGACACTACATTTAATTGTATCCTGAAATAAAAAAGATATATAGCATATAAAATTTTTTATGCCTATTATAATATACTTGACAGTTGTAAAGAAGTGACACAAATGGATAAATATGTAATTATTAGAATAATTTAATTTGTCTAGGAAAAATATATTCTGCCTCTAATTTACCCAACTCTACAACTTAAGAACTAGTACATACTCCTTGATTTTTATCATTTGTCCAATTAGATAAAATATTTTGACGAACATTTTCTTCACATTCCATTAGATTTTCGTCCAAAATGTGAGCGGCATTGACTTTATCAGGTTTATATTTACATTGAGCCATTAATTTATCATTTAAAGTTCCAAAGACTAGTTGTAATGTTCTAGGAATTAGGCCAGGATCAGAAGGAGTTCCTAAAATACAAATGTATAAGGTAGTTACATATAAAATTATAATATATTAGGATAAATTTATACCATGTATAGTGAATGTTTTTCCAGCATTTGTTGTTCCATATGCAAATAAAAGTTCACTGTTTCCATTTAAAAATCGTAAAACTTTTTCATACACCCAAGTATTAAAAAATTTTTTTTGATCAACATTAGGACCAAAAACACTTGAAAATGTATATCTAAAATATTACAATTTTAAAATATTAAAAGTATAAATTATTTATTAATTTATGCATACTCAGTAACATCTTCTCTAGAATGTCCATTACAACATGCAACTGTAGTGTCACTTAAAATTGTTAGTGTATTATCCTAAATTTTCAATAGTTCAATATATAATTATTTTAAATATTATTTCATTTTTTTAAATTAAAAATAATGTCTCACACTTATCACATTGTTACATTGACGTGGTTTAATACGAAGACAAACATCAATTTTTGGATGGCCCACATTTTCAATTGAGTAGTCTAATACTTTTTTTGGTTTTCCAATTACTTTTCTTTGTCCAAATCCAGTTATACTAGGAATTCTAGGTTCAACATAAGATCCAGTTGATAAATGTTCTTTGGAGTCATCCATAATTAGTCTTTATAACTAAAATAATATTTCTGAGCTATATTAAATTTATAACATAACTTAAGTTAGTATAGAATTTTTTTAATTAAATTTTTAACCTACAAATGATATAATAATAGTGTTAGCTTAAAATAAATATAAGAAGATATTAGCATATTATAAAAAATAAATGTGTATCAATTGAAGTTTTAAATCGCAAAAAACAAATAATTGAGGGATTATTGGTTATTCTATTGTTTATTTATATAATTCAAACAATTAAAATTCATAATCTACTAAATTAATTGAATTACTTACAATATATCCAGTATTATAATTTATACTTAAAGTGTATTCTGATTTGTGCACTACACGTTATTAAGAACGTTTACATCAATCATAGCAAAGCATTAACTAGAATAAAGAAATGTCTATCAATAAGCTCAATATAAATTTAAAAATATGATTAAAAATGAAGAATTACAATGAGTAAATAAAAAATAAAATGAGTCTACACTTACCCCAAAAATGGATATAATAAAGTAACTGTAATTATGTAAATACGATACCCGTAAAACAAACTATAATAAGTTGTACTCCAATATCATATGGATGATCTACCACATAAAATAATAACGGACAAAATTTTGTAAACACTCTCAACGTTCGGTAAGTCAACCAATCAACACACGGATTGTTATTCTAACAGTGTAGCCATATTATTGATAATTAGTTGCTCTGCAGTACTCTTATTATATTATCGTAAATAAAATAAAACATTCTATCAATTTTATTATTTCTTATTTTTTTTAAAAAGAATATATAAAAATGTTTTTATGCTTAATTATTTAAATTTTGCCGTCAAGAATTTTTTAATAGATATTAATAATTTATAAGATTAAAATTTTTTTTTTCATATGATGTTAATTTTAATGATAAAAATTTTTTTTACTTATGTTAATAAAAAAAAACTTTTTTCAAACATTTGCTTTTATTTATGCAAAATTAACAATTAATATTAAGATTTTTTTTAATGAGGTGGCAATAAAATAATGTTAAGAAAAAAGTCGTCATAGAATTCAAGTTGGGTCATTGAAATTTATACTGAATTAAATGTGTAATAATATACAATTTTAATTACGATAAAGTGCTTTATAAGAAATTCTAAGAAACATAGACATGTTATTTCGTGCGTTAGTTTAAATTTATTAGGTCGCTGTATCTTGAAAACTGGAGGATTTCAATAGATAGAATTTGAACTAGACTTATGATATGGTTACACAGTACTGACTGAAAATTGTGCGTTTTAAAAACAGTACATAAGAGCTATAATGCGACAGTTGATGATTGCGATACCGCGATGGTAGGATATGATATTGCCGCACATTGGTTTTTGAGCTAAAATGAATTCATAATTTTATGTTCTGTACCTCTGTCAAAACCGCAACATTTTCTATGCTAAATGTGACTGAATCGCCACAGTGTCTTAGTGCCCTAAAAAACGGCAATTGTAGTTACACCTCAGAATAGAAAAAGTTATTTTGTGCTTTCTTTACTTAATTAAATTTAACTTTTAATGCAAAATTTGCAATATAGTTGGCAGGTAAAGGGTCAGTTTTTCAAAATATTTGTATCTAATAAAAAAGAAATACCTAAGGTGTTTATATAAAAAAAAATTATTTTGATTCGTTCATTTTTCAAAATGTTATGATAGTTATAAAGAAAAATTAAGTTTAAAAAATGTCGAATTTGCCAATTTTTGAAGATCTTGAAAAATTCTTAATAAATAACATTTTTTTTCCTATATTCTGAAAAATTGATTTGGACTGTTTTAAATTTATGAAGTTTTTCTAGATTAAGCGATGGGTGTTAAAATTTTTTTAAACCACTGGTAGAACACTTACAAATCTTTTAACACAAGCCCTAAATTATTGTCCATTTTTATATTGAAGTTCAATAATATTACTATTTGTTATATGTGACAAATTATTTTATTTTTTACTACATTTTAATATTTAGAATGAGCTTTAAAAAAATCCCAGCACAGTGGGATCCAGTATAGATGATATCTGACAGTGATTAAAATCACTATTNCAGTGGGGTCGTGGCATAGTTGGGTCCAGTATAGATGATATCTGACAGTGATTAAAATCACTATTATAAAAAACGCTTCGATGCAAATCTGTAGATAGTGTTTAATTAAAAAAAAAAATTTGTCAAAAAAGTAGATCAAGTGAGAGCTGAGAAAATAAATGATAGCTACAAAAAAAAAACACATAGTAAAATAATATTAATATGAATTTCTTCTCATGAGAGGAGACTACCGTAATGGGACCCTTGATAGTTATTGAATCTAAATGAGATAAAAATCAAATGAGTTAAACATTTTTTTCTAACTCAAAAAGAATTAAGAAAAAATTCAGTGCCACAGGCATGAAAGACCCAAATGTTACCGTCTCAGAAACCGTGCGTCGCATTCGTCACTTAATAAAAATGGAAATTTAGCTAGTTCAAATTTTAAAGTTATTTTTCTCGACTTTAAAGAAACAAAAAAATTTAAATATGTTTAATTTTTTATACTATGTGAATAAGATTAATACAATATTTATGAAAATCAGTGTAATCCCCTTATAATAAAATAAAATAAAATACAAAACCAAGAATTTTAACACAAAAATAGCATATTTTTGAATACGGTAGCTATTTTCACCATAAAGACAAAATAAAGTCCGAAATTTTTTTTTTTAATATTAAAGTATATGGCATAAGCTTTAATTAAAGATATATATAAAAGTGTCAGTATTTCCGTAACACTTTCAAAAGTTAAGTTGAAAAAGTTAATTTTTTGTGAAAAAGTTGTCATTTTAAATCTCCCCCTGTGGGCAGGTAAAGAGTCAAATTTACAAAAAAAATATACCAAATGATAGGTAAGGACATCAAGCATCTATAAAAAAAAAAAATTATATTGATATGTTCATTTTTCAAAATGTTATGGCAGTGTTAAGTAATAAAAATTGAAAAATTAGCGATTTTTAAATTTGTAATTTTTTTGGAGGTTTCCCCCATTTTCGGAGAACGAGGGAAATTTTTTCAATTTTTGAGGGTAATGTCTTCGACTAGATACGATTTGTGATCTTTTAACGTATCGTTGAAAGAAATAGGTTTGGTGGGAGCTGAGAAAAAGTGGTAACAGGCACAAAAAAAAAATAAATAAAAAAAATCACATCATAGTAAAATTAATACCTTCTCAGTTTCGCATCGAAGCTAATATATATATATATATATATATAGGAAGAAAGTTTGGGTAACATAGTTATTGAATGAGCACTACTAGTAAATGAAGACAACTGAGTTTTTAGTTAAACAATTTTCTAATTTGATTGTAACAAAATGTAGTTAGTAGTATTTACAATAAATAAAATATTTCAATTAAGTACTATTGTAATACTACAATTTTTAATACAATATCATTAACGGTTCATTCACTGAAAAAATTAAATTATTAACAAAAAATAATAAATAAAAATTTTTGTGTAAGTTAATTATAAATATATTTACATTTTAACTAAAGTAAATTTTTCAGAAAACAAATATTTGTTAACTTTATGAGTGTAGTATATAAATATGACTTACTCATTCAGTCCCTACGTCCATTGTAATAGACACAATTTTTATCATTAATTTATTTAATAATGAATTGTGTACACATTCAATTTTTCCATATTGTGATAAAAAATGTTGTTTTCTAGACAAAATTAATAAGTTTATAATATATATATATATATATATATATTTATAATTTATAAATATATAAATGGAAATGGTGTTATTTAAAAAAAAAAGTATGCCAAATGATAGATGTATATAAATACTACTTCTCATGAAAAAACTGTATTGAACCATACATTTTTCAAAAAGTTATAGCATAATAAAGTTTTTTTTTTTATTTATCAGAAAATTTATTTACAATCTATACAACAAGTACATTAAGCAAATTTGATGAGAGCTATCATATACATGATAATGAAATTGACGTTTATGGGAAGACACTCAGCAGTGCTAGGAAGTTAAAAAAAAAAATTTTTTTTTCTTTTTAGTTATAGAAAATCTTCTTGGATCATTAACAAGAAGGGAGAACGAGGATAGTTTCTTAATTAAGGGGTTAAAATGAGTACTTAGATTTGAATGAAAATTTGAGTAGAGTGATTTTGTTAGTTGGTCAATTGTTGGTATGTTTAGGTCTTTATGTATGTTTTTATTTGTGACATACCAAGGGGCATAGGTTATTAGGCGCAAACAGATTGATTGGAACGCCTGGATAGTTTTGGTGTTTGAAGGTTTGGCTATGCTCCATAGTTGTATGTCGTAGGACCAGACTGGACGGATTAAAGGTTTGTATATGATTAGTTTATTGAAAAGAGTGAGCTGAGATTTAAGTAAAGATCTGAGGAGATGGAATCTGGAGTTTAATGTTTTACGTTTTTGTTTTAAATGTGGGCCCCAAGTGAGTTTTTTGTCCAAGGTATGGCCAAGATACTTGACTGTGTTTGCTGTAGGAAGGATTTTATTATTGAGCGTGACTGTTAGGGAATCGAGTTTGCGCATTGACAAAGTTACTTGTGTAGATTTGTCATCGTTGATTTTAATTTTCCATCTAAATGACCAAAAGTGGATTATATTTAAGTGGTTTTGTAACATTCGGCTTACTATGATAGGGTCTTTGTTAGAAGCAGTTATCAGTATGTCATCAGCGTATGTACCCAGAGATGTATAGAAGTTTTTTGGGATATCGTGGGTGAATATTGAGTATAAAAAAAGAACCATATCACTCCCTTGTGGGTCCCCTGCTCTAATTAGGTGAGACGCAGAGTAACTAAAATTTAGTCGAATGGTGAAAAAGCGTTTTGTTAGGTAGGAATTTATTAGTAGAAAATAAGGAGCAGGAAGGAACTTTTTCAGTTTGAACATTAAGCCTTTGTGCTAGACCCGGTCGAAAGCCTGGGCAACATCCAAGAAAACTGTTGTACAGCAATGCTTTTTATCCAGCGACGTGGATATAGAATCAACAGTATGATGTAATTGATGTATAGTAGAGTATTTAGCTCTGAACCCAAATTCTGTATGCGGGATGATATTTGCTGTTGCAGCAAAAGGGATGAGTCTTTTTAACAGTATTTTCTCAAAGATTTTTGAAAATGTCGGTACTAAACTTATTGGTCTATAAGAGGCGGGATCGGTGAGGGACTTATTAGGCTTTAGAATTAAGATTATAACAGATCGTTTCCAAGAGTTCGGAAAGTAAGATAGCCTAAATACTGCATTGTATAAATGCGCTAGGAAAACTATGGCTTTTTTTGGTAAGTATTTAACAATGTAGTTGCTAATCAAGTCATGTCCTGGTGATTTTTTAATAGATATTTTTTTAATTATATTTTCTATTTTACTTGGAGAAGTACTTTTAGCAGGCATTGACATAGGTAAAGGTGCTTCTAGGTAATTATTGATTATTTGCAGTTGCGTAGCACACGGCTGAATGTCGTGGGGGGAAAAAGAATTAGAGAGGTGATTAGCTAAAATATTAGATTTTTCTGAGTTGGTAATAGCCCAGGAGTTATCTGCTTTACGTAACGGGGGAGAAGGGTTTTTTGACCGAAGAAGAGATTTTGTTGCTTTCCATAAAGATAAACTTTCGGTAGTTAATGCTTTGACATAAGAGTTATAAGAAACGTTTTTGTGTTTTTGGATAGCTTTTTTTAGTTTGTTGCTTATTTGATTGAGTCTGGTTTTGTCACTAGAATATTTATAATTTTGCCATCTGGCTTTGGCCAGACGTTTCTCTACAAGTAGAGTTTTTATATGTTGAGGAATAGGTCTGAAGTTTAGGTTTGGCTGCGAAGTAGTGGCAGACAGCGCGGATTTTTGGATCAAAGAGGATAAGTGATCAACTGCAACGTTTATTTCGTCGTTAGATTTTAAAGAAATATTTAGCATAATTTCTGCGTTTATTAATTGTTTGAAGACAGACCAGTCAATTTTGTCAGGAGTAAGGGTTTCATTTTTTGAAGACGGAACGTTTAAACCTATTTTGAGTAGAGTAGGTGTGTGATCGGAGGATAAGTCAAAGAGATTGCTTAAGATATTTTGAAAATTACCTGATAGTTTGTTTATAAATACCAAGTATTTATGTATGTCAAGTATATCTGGGAGCCTGTTGTTATGTGAGAGCCAATAAGTAGGTTCAGGAGGAGCTAGGGTTGATAAATTAGTGTTATTAATATAACGAAGTAACGTTTTGTCCCTGGTATTGGGGGCTCGGTTTTCCCAGGAAGGGTCTTTGGCATTGAAATCACTCCCATCTCTGGGATCGATGCCCTAGTGTAGCAAAAAATTCAGAAAAGTTTTCATAGGAGATGATGGGACCAAGAGGACAATATACTGAGCATATAGTGATGGGTATATTATTGTGAGTAATTAGTATACTTGCAGCTTGGATATGAGGTGTTCTACATGGCGGTAGTAATTAGTGATCAAATTTAGATTTAATATATATTGCTGAGCCAGCGTGTGCTGTACCATCTGGATGACAAGAGAAATATGCCTTGTATCCAAAAATTTTTGTACAAGAGTTAGGGGTGAAATGAGTTTTAGAAACAAGGGCTATGTTTATATTTTTATCTTCTAATATGAATTGAAACTCATTTTTGTGCTGTTTGAGTCTATTAGCATTTCAAGAGAGGATGGTTAGCGAGGAATTTACACTAAGATTATGCGTCATTTTTAGCTATGATTTTGTTTATGACAGTTGTATGAAGATTAATTAATGGTATGATCAGAGATTGGAAGTTTTCAAGAAAGGAAGAAAGTTGGGAGGAAAGTGAAAAAATACCTTATCTAAAGATTCTTATCTTTGGATAAGGTATTTTTTGGATTTTTATTATTAGTTACATTAGAGTAAGAAAAGTGCTGAGGATGAGTGCTGAGTGGTTTATCATTTACTTTATTAGTAGTTGAGTCTTGTGGGTTCAATGGTGGTTGAGAAGACTTGAGCATGTGTCTAGACCTTTGGAGCTGTTTGTGAACAACGCATCCTTTATAGTTGGCTGGATGTCCTCCTCCACATAGTGCGCATGTGGCTGGTAATTCTTTTGATTTTTGACACATATCGGAAAGGTGCTCTTGGCCGCACCGCACACACCTGGGCTTGCGGTTGCAGTATGATCGTGTATGGGCATAGTAATGACATTGAGTAGTTTGGCTACTTTTCGGTATGAGTTTGATGACTGTACGGAAAGTTTAAGATTTTTTGAAGTAGATTTGCAAACAAACTCTTCCTCTTCTCCTATAGTTGTGTTTTAATTCGTTACAGAATTTAATGTAATCTACTGGAGTTCCAATAAATATTAGTGGTGGTGGAGGAGGCGTAGGTGATGTTTCAGTATTCATTTGAGTGTCGTCCTCAATATCGTCGAGTGCCTGGTATCTGTTTGGAGTAGCGAATGGGTTATCCTTTATATTTTCTTTAGCGTTGGGTGAAAGTCCTGGGGAAGATTGACGTTTGCTGGTTTTGATGACACAACTAGGTTCTGTGTTGATTACTACATTTGTGGTGTTTAATTTGGATAATTTAATAGGAGATACTGGTTTATGAGAGCTGCACTGTTGACGAATAATACTATTGTTGTGTGTATTATTATTATTATGCTAAATAGGTACTTTAGTCGTGAGCAGTGTACGTAATAAAGTTAAAAAATAAATGTAAAATAGAAAATCGTGAATTTTCACACAAATATAGCATTTGGTAGCCATTTTTACCGCGAAGACAAAATAAAGTCCGAAATTTTCTTTTTCTATAATAAAATATATTACATTAGCTTTAATTTAAGATATATATAAAAGTGTCAGACTTTCTGGAACACTTTCAAAAGTTATGTTGAAAAAATTTTTTGTGAAAAAGTTGTCTTTTTGAATCTCCCCCGTGGGCAATTAAAAGGTCAAATTTATTAAAAAAAATATACCAAATGATAAGTAAAGACATATTGCACCTACAAAAAAAAATTATATTGATTTGGTCATGATTGATAAAGTTATGACAGTTTTAAGAAAAAAAAATTTGTGATTATTAAATTTATAATTTTTTTGGAGATTTCCCCCATTTTCGGAGAACGAGAGAAATTTTTTCAATTTTTGAGGATAATGTCTTCAACTAGATACAATTTGTAATCTTTGAACGTACCGTTGAAAGTAATCAGTTCGATGAGAGCTGAGAAAAAGTGTTAACAGACACAAAAAAAAAAACACATAGTTAAACTAATACCTTCTAAGATTTGCATTAAAGTTAAAAAAATCTTTTATGTTTTATCTAAGTGATAACTATGAATTATAGTTGAATTTTTTTGTCATTATTATCTATGGTAAACAGCTGTAAAATAAAAAGTCTAGCCAATGGACAATGGGCCTTGGTGTAACAATAATATATAACAATATCATATGTATTTTGTATTAAATGTAAAGTACATATGTGTTGTGTAGTTAACAAAACAAATGTTTTACCGAACATCATATGGTATAATTCTGTCATGTAATAAAAAATTGATCACTTGTGGTAAATATTATTTAAAATTAAAATTACATTAAAAATATTAATTTAAAACATTACATACTAGTAGTATGTGTTAAGCGATGATAATGCTAACAATATTTAGTAATTTTTTGTGAATTTTTGAGATAAATATTTTTGATATAATTTTAATTTTAAATAGTCCTATAGTACCTATTTGATAAATCTTATTTGCTATATAGTAAATTTATTTGCTATTGAATTTTATACAGTATAAGTATTAGGGTGGTCCAATTTTTTTTTTTTTGGAATTTAGTTTCTCCACAAGTTTGTTTTTGTTTCAGACCATCTAACTTGCACTTATAAAAAATTTCAGCATAATTGAATAATTTTTAGGGGTCGCTAGGATTTATCACTTTTATGCATAAAGTTATAGTAAATAAATAAAAACTATTTTCTTGAAAATTTATTCAACTTTTAAAAATAAAACAAAACATTATGCTACAATATTATACATATATATTTGTTAAAATTTATGTTTCTTAGTTTTTAATTACCTAGAGTCATTTTCATAATGCTAGATTTTGATGCAGAAGGATATCGTTTTCTATGGAGATCTACTAATCGGAGAAGATATTGTTTTTGCTCCTCATTTTTCGTTATGTTATTGTTGAACTTTTGAATCAGTGCAATCCCACGCTCTGCGCAATCATTAACAACTTTCATTTGGCGAACTTTTTCTAGCATTTCAATATAGACCAAATCTGTCGGCCACTCTGATGGATCTTTCGCCAAAAATGAAGCTGCTTTTTCTCGACCGTTATTAATTAACAAATCAAATAAAACCGTTGTGCGTTGTGTGATAAACGACTCTAGTGGATCCTGGTGATTGAACGTTTTGCCATCAAGTCTTTTCAATGCATTTCCCTTGGAAGGTCGTTGAAGATTTTTTACCATTTCTCTTTTAGACTCAGTACTGACACGAGAATCAAAAAAAGAAAGTCCAACTAAATGTTCTGAAAAATACCAAAGGTGACGAAAAAATGCTTTAGATGCGGCAATACTTATCTTCCGATTAGGGTAATCTTTTATCAGTCCAATCAAATCGGCATCATTAAGGGGAGCTCTTTCGGCTATTGGGGCTTCATTTCAGCAACGACAATACAGTAGACTTACAAATAGACTTATTTCCGTGACACCTTTTTTCTCTGCTGCAGTGAGTTCGAACTGATCTTGAAACATGTATATTTTTAGGCAATAGATTGCCTTTGCCATCCAACGGGCTTGATGAAAGGCTCCTGGCGTTCGAAATCCAACTTTACTTTCTTCTGACTTTCCGAGAAAAATTCTGCACAAGTTTATTATTTCAAGGTAGTCGTCTCTTGGCTGTTGCGTTTCAATAGCATCAATATAGTAAGAACGCATGTCTTGACGGAGTTGAAGCAGGTTGTCATGGTTAAATAAATTTTCATCACCAACTTTAAAATTTTGTTTATCTATTCCCAGCCATTGTTTTTGAAAACGTTTGAAAAGATTGACATGTGGACCCCCACTTGGTCCAAACACTTCCTTAAAGACGGTAGAAAGCAAAACTTCAAAAATGTGATGTCTACAAGCAATCCAGACAAGCTCTTTATCAGATGCTATAGCCTTTTCGATTAAAGAGCATGCGCCCAAATTCAACCCCGTGTTAGAAGATGTAGTATCAAAGCAGAGTCCTCGCACGTAGGCCTTTAACTTCCACTCTTCAAGAACATTGAGACAAGCATCAGCCTGTTCTTTGCCCGTGCCTCTATCAATCTTTGGAACTGCTAAAAGCTTTTCTAAACCACCGCCAGTGACAAGCACAGCCACTCGATCGACTTTTTGCGTCCCTCCAACAATGTCAGGCAGCAGTTTACCATCCCAATGCAAAACTAGAGGATGCTCGAAAGAAGATGTTGTTTTGTCAGTTTCCACAACAGTTTTGCGAATTTGATTTCTTTTACGACGTATTGTACTACGTGATAAAGAGATATCTGCTATTGGGGTTCCTAAAGCCTGAGCTATTGATCCAACGACAAACATTGCATTCCGATCAGACAAGTTTACACGGTCAATAGATGCTACAACATCCTCAGTAAATACACTTTTAATATTGGTGGGTTTTTTTATATTTGTTGAAGTAGAAGGAACTTGAAACTCATCACCCGATGAACAGTTTGAGCTGCTTTTACAAGAATCCATTATTTCGGAATCGGATGCTATTTCTAAGCTCATTAGCGTTTTTTCTTGATTATGTTGTCTTCTAGTTTCAGCTTCTACTTCTCTTTTTCGTTTTCTAAATTCTTTTTTTTCTTGCAGCTTGTCTACACCTGCCATACTGCAGCTCATTCTGTCTTCTCTCTGCATTATTAAAAATGTTTTGTCTTCTTCATTTTTCATTATTTTTAATGCATCCTTAACAGCTATGTCAAAAATATCAACTAAGTCTCCTTTAAATACCAATTCTTTCATACGGCAACTATCAAGATTTGTTTTTCTGTTCTTTTTTAAAAGATAGTATTCATCCACCAGTTTACTTAGTTTTCTTTCAACTGAGTCAATTCTTTGAGTAGGTATCCTTGCTTTTTCCCAAACTTCCAAAACGGATTCCGCTGTAGACCTTATACTTTTTTTAAAAGTTTGTTTTTTTTCTAAGTGGTGAAAGTGAAAAAATCTTAGTACATCCTCTTTTGACGGAAGTCTAGCAAATGAAAATGTTTCTGTAGGTTTTCCAATCAACCACACGGTAGCTGATGTTCTTGTTGATTTTAAATTGCTGGTGGAAGCCATTATATTATTTAAGACAAAATCTAATATAATATTTTGTAATAACTATAGTTAAAAATTTAGTAGGTAATTCACAAAAATAATTTTGTTTTGATTATCAAACAAAACTTTAGAATAGTTAAAAAAATGTCAATAGCTTCAACGGACACCAAAGTGTTAAATATTTCAAATGTGATAATAAAAAAGTACAATCATTAATATATGTATTTTAAATTAATTAATAACCGCAGGTAACGTTTCAAATACTCACGTGTTTATAACAAGCGATGTTGACTCAACAACAGTTCAAAATAAAATGTCGATAAATGGTTTGAAATGTTAACTCATGTCGCACCATTTCAGTTTTAACTGGACAACCAATAATGTAAATAAAATAAGATAGTAAAGGAAAATACAATTCATTTTTGACGGACAATGTAAAATACTCATGGTTATTATGCACAGCTATTATCTGTTCGTTATCGGCGGTTAATGATTACGCTAGAATAAAAACCATTGATAAATTCCTATTACTTCTTACTTACAAATCCTAGCGACCTCTAAATATGTTTAGAATGGGCTAGTTTATGGCGTGAACATTTATTTTTGACTAAGAAACAAAAATATGGTTGTGGAGCTCAGAAAAAAAAACTTTTTTTTTTACCCATAAGAATTGGACCACCCTAATAAGTATGTTAATTTATTTTTCATTTTTATGTTATAAATTATAATAATAATAATATTAAACAGGAAAAGAAACGAATGAATAAAGATTTTGCAATAAAAGAATATTTTTTGTTATTATTTTGAGTCCCAATGTTCATTCTAATTGATAATCCTACCTTTTGAAATAAAAAGGTTTAATGACCATTAAATTCATCAAAATAGTGTTTTTGTAAAAAAAAATTACTAATTAAAGAAAGTAAAATTTTTTTACTGTTCTTTTCCTAAAAGAGGGACTGATAGGGTTAATAAAAAATGTTTAAATATGAAAAACTCTTAGCTGTTCATTTACTGATGAAGTCACCTTATGAAGTAAAATTTATTTTGACTAGTTACAAAACGCATTAGTTCTGGTTCAAATTAATTGTAATTTTTTTCTTAAAATGTGTTAAAAGTTGTAACTTGTCCTATAGTTTTATGAATATTTACAATACGCGATAATCAATTTTTTTACATCGTGGATATTACTTAAGAGTCCCATTTTTAGAAAAAAGACATTTATGTTTAGAAATCGAACAATTCAATTGATTTTTACTTAAAAATTCTACTAAACTTTAATAATTGATTTTTTTTATATAAATATAATCTCGTTGAAATATTTTTTATTTTTATAAAATAAATAATTATTTCAGAAATGATACAGCGGAAAAAAATTAACTGTACATCTTTACAGTACTGTTACACCTCTTGAAAATATTTCTTGACTACCAGGTGTGTAGTTTGACGTGTTGTACATTATCAATGGTCTGCTTCTATTTCGCAAAGCTGTGGTGCCTGTAACTATTGATCTGGGATCATTTTGTGTTCCCCATAATCTAGCGTTGAATAGCTGGTAAAGCTCATTACGGATATTAGAATTCATCCATCCATATATGATTGGGTTTGAAATCGCTGAAGTCATTGCTGTTATATGACAAACAGCTAATGTTAAATAAAGTTGTCTGGGGTTTACAGGTGTAGTCATCAAATCTGCAGTTAATGAGAATACGGATAACGGAAGCCAACTAACCGTGAACACAACTGCAACTCCTAAAGATTGATAAATTATATTTTTAATGAAAAGTATGTATTACTAAGAAAAACCATTGGCTAATTATTAAATTATGTCTCATTCCAACCAAACTCGATTGAATTCTTCGATAAATTAAGTATCGTTAAGTATATGTATAAAAATATATACACCATGATTCGTTTATCGTGAAACCACATTGAAATCAATACATAAAAATAACATTAAGAATGTATTGGTTTCTTTGTACTAGAGGAATGTGAGGAAAAATGAAAATTACACTTTTTAAAATATCTAATTGTAATAATGAAATAAAAATTTGTTTTATATTTGATTTAATTTATGTTCTTAAATAAATTATATTTTTTCCATTTGAATAATTATCTTTTATACTATTATCAAATATCTTATTTTCTCTCTAATGATATACAAATTGTTTTTATCAGAATTATGTTTTTTATCAGTTAATAAATTTGATATTAAAAAGAAATTTGGATGAATTCAGGGTAAATTAAACTATTTTAAATAACTCGATACATTTTTAAATTTTGTTCACATATATTTAAATAGTGAAAGCTTAGTTAAAATAAAATTCAGTTGCAGCAAAATGAATTTAATGAATTAATTTTACCCCATTAAAAAAAATGATTAAGTAAGTATAACTAATACTAGTCTCCGCTAAGCTGGGACTCTGTCTAGACCCGGAGTGTGATATACACAATAATTAATAATTTTCTTATTATAATAATTATGTTAATGTTATAGAATAATTAGAGAAAAATTTGGTAGTTTATTTTCCTAAGGCAATATAAAAAAGTTAATTTTATTTAGAATGTTGGTTTCTATGATTTATCGTTGTAATAGATAAGTCCCAATTTTTACAATAAATTCATTGACTTATACATCATATGAGAGATAAATAAGATTATTAATACACAGTACTGTATTTGTTGATAATGTGTGTACAAACTTATATACTTATAACCTCGCTGAAACTTATATATAACAATCAAACTTTTATTGATAAAATATAGAAAATATATTTCTATGCGCACGCGTAAAATCGTATCTTAATGTAAACTTTAAGTGGACATAAAAAAAAAGTTCAAAGCGTATTTGGCTTATTAAGCATATTAAAGGCATATTTGTACAGTAAGTTAATTAAACAAATTAAAAGATATATTTATATATGTATCAATACATTTGATTGAATGTATCAAAAATTTTTGTAATATAAACTTATTTAAAAGGAATTGATAGAAAATATTTTTATATTTAAAATACCAAACAGGTAATAACTAATATAATACCAGAAAAAAAGTTATAAAGAAGGTAGTTAATAATCTATCCCACTCAATACATATATGAAAACTATAAAATGTATTAAATATGAAATGAAGAGAAAAATTAAATTGAGTTAAAAATTCATTTTCTACAAATTAAGAGTCAAAATATACATATGCACAAATATGAGCCGATACCCTTATTCAAAATGTAGGCGTCGGATTTTCGTATTTTTGCAACTTCCTTGACACGTGTAAATCGCTGTGGTAAAGTTGCGAATAGAAAAAAAAATCATATTCATGTCGTAAAAATTCGCTTGGCGCGCCTTAGTGTCTTGAGCATATAAAAAAAACTCATAAAACGGTAAAAAATTAACAGATTAAATTAATTTTTTATAACATGTCTTTGGATGGGTCTGGTGAAAATTTTAAACCTTAAGTCGTAAAACGCTGGCGTCAGTGAGCGTTATTTCTCGAAAACGGTTGAAATTTTAAAACGTTTGCAAACGAGCAGCAAAAATTTTCCTAGGGTTTTGTGATCAAATACTTTCGTTGAAAAAAAAGTGTTGAAAATCGAAGCAATATATAATACAATTTTAAATGTTTTTGGTTACGTTTATATGTGAGGCTATTACATTAAAATCTTACATTATGTTAACAAATAGTATTTAATACTATTCTAATAATTTATAATAAAGATTAATAATTCTGTAGAATTTTAATTGAAAAAAGATTATTATTTTATTTCATTAAAATGAATACACATTATAAGATTTTGAATATTATTTGTATTTAATATTTTTAATAACATTAATTATATTACAATGAGTAGTTTAAATAATCGTATGCGTTTTGTATTATAATTTTATTTCGCCTCGAATATGGAGCAAAATGAAAAAGTAAGTTTAAAAAAAAATAAAATTTTCAATGATGTCTTATGTAAATTAAATAATTTTTTAAACAAATTTAGATTAAGTTGATTCGTTATTTTGGTATATGGCAAAAAGGCCATATCCTAAAATGTTTTCTATATAACTCTTAAAAATTCTCAAAATATTAATTTTATGACGTATCAACTTTTAGACTTACGACATGGGGTCATTCAATGAAATAACTTCTTGATCAATTTGTTTGGGTTAGGTAGTTAAGGCTTTTCTCGTGGAGGTTTGGTCGAGATTATGTTAAAAATAAGGTCTATCCAGAATAAAACATTGAATCTTTATTACTTCTTTTGAATTTAAATATAATGTTTATTTAAAGCTTATAATTAATATCAGATACCTATTAAAAGCAGAGTAGTTCGTTTATTCCTTTGGAGTTCTCGTAGTGCTCGTCTTGGATCTTTTTGAGAAGTAGTATGTGTGTGTAAAAAAGTCGCAATACGAATATGCACCACTAATAGTACAGTAGCAGGTAGTACTGCTTGTATGAGTACTATGGCTATGTTGTAAGCAACTTTAATTTCTGTGGTAGGCCATTTCTCTAAACAGGATTCATACAATACAATTTGATGGAAAGTGAGGGGCTCAACAACCTATTTATTTAAAAATCACAATAATCGTGGTTTTAATAAGCGATATTATCATGTCATTAATTTTTTTGTAAGACATTTTGGTGTACCTGATAATAAGGTATCGGTAGAGTTGTTATCACTGCAAACAGCCAAACTAATAAAATAGCAACGTAAACAGATCGACGTTCGTTTTGTGCAGATCCTCGTACTATGACCCAATATCTGTCGATAGCTATCACTGTAATTGTTCCAACAGATACCATTATGTTGGTGCCTTGTAAGAGAGGAACTAATTTACAGACAAAAGATCCCATATTCCATTGGTACCTTATTATAGATGTCAGAGTAAAAGGCATACACACAAGACATAATGTTATATCTGATATGGCCAAATTTACTATGTAAATATTTCTAGATGTATGCATTTGAGCACGTCTTGCTATCACATAAATAACAGTCAAATTAGCTGTTAGACCAGCGATGATTAGACCCAGATAAACTGCTATCAATATAGTCTATAAAAATAATTAACTCTGTATACTATTCAATTTTAATGTTATTCCTACAATTTCCTACAATAAATGTAATACCACTTCTGAAGATTTTTTGACAAAATATTGTATTCCTATCAAAATTACTTAAAACTGGGTTTTAACTAATGATGATGAAAAAAAAACAACATTTTTTCAAAAAATGCTCTTATGCAGTAGCGTACTAAGGGTTTCAGCGTTTCAGTGCTGTTTGTATCTAATATACCCTTAAAATCGTTTTTTGAGTAAAAAAAAATTTTTTTCCAGATTTTTCTGAAAAAAATTCTAGCTTAAAGAACTTAGAAAATGCATAAACGTAAGAATATAAATTATAAATGAAACAAAAAACATTTTTACCCAAGTTTTATCGTGTTTATGGGTATGTGCAGAGTGTCAAAGGCGCCCTTATCATTGTGTTCTGGATTATCTGCTCCACGTAGCCCTTTATGTAAACACGCCACTGCTTTTACGTGATATCTCACTTAGAGTAGAAATATACAGAGTGATCAAAAAGTAAGGAAACAGATCAATTGTTACAAACAATAAAAGTAATAGTAACTTTCTTTACTTACCGAACTTTCTATATAAAATTAGTTTTCCATAAGTATAATTATTTAAATCATAAATATTATTATCATGCAAATAAAAGTATTTTATCATAATTATTTCTATTTTACCTCAGTACTTTGATCCAAATTTCGAGCATCTCTTTTGTGTTCCATTAAAATTGAATATACTTCATCCAAACTAAAATTAAATGTAGAGTTCATTTCGGTATCATTACAAGATTCTATAAATGTGCTCATTGTTCCATCTAATGAGCAAACCATAAAGGCATTGTAAATTCACTAATATTATTCCTACAAACAAAATTTTTATTCAAAATAACTAACAATAAACAAAATAGAGAAATAAGAAATATATATTTTATTGTACAATAAATATTTAATCATTAAAAATTTTATTATACATTATTTATATGAATTTCTCTTAAAATAATAAATATATTAAGATTATTATTTTTAGTATTTGTTGTTTTTATAAATTTCTTGATTTATCATTTACACAGGATAACAGCCATTTTCTTGTTTACAATTTTTATATGAATTTTTTATGTATTTTTTTTTTAGTTTTTGAAATAATTAATAATTAGTAATTAAGTGACAATTACACAGTAAAATCATCATAAAAAATATACATTTTTTTTTTGGCTTTCCTAAAATAATTTGATTAAATTTTATAAGAGTTGTGTTTAACCGATTTTTTGAATCTTTTAAGCTAAGTTTGAGTGTCTTTAAAAAAAAGCTTTCGAGCATAACTTATTTTTGGATTAATTTACTATTATGAAACTTAAACCAACAAACAAATAATTTTATAAGGATTTAACAAATATTATCTTTGTGCATTTTGAGTGACTATACAACGAAAAAAATACTGTTAATACAAAAAATACTGGGTTTATATACTTTCCAGTAATCACTTGTAAAGCTTTCTTTATAATTATACAAATAATTAATATTATGCAACTGACATACGTAAAATCTCAATACATTATTGTATTTTACGTTGAAGAGTATACAGAAAGTTCAAAAAATAAGGAAACAGGTCAATTGTAACAAACAATGAGAACAATAAAAATTATCCGAAGTACTATTGTTATATAGTTTTATTTTTCAATAATTGATATTGATTAGAAACTACAGAAGGTGCTCATAATCATCTTTCTTTCTGAGAACTAAAATTCTTGTCAAAGTATATTAACAAACTTATGAAACTCTGCGTGTTCAATTAATCTAAAAGGACTATTGATAGCATAGATAAATTTAGATACGTGCCAACTTATCTTTTGAAATAGTTTTACAAACAAATTTACTATTTGCTTGATGTTTAGAAGATTCTATTTTTGCAAGTTTCGTACATTTGAAGAAGATGAATCAATATTAATAGAATTACTTATATTTTCATTTAATATTACACGATTTTCATAACATACAGGCTCAGTTTGATGTAAAAGCTTTTGTGGGTAGTCTTCGATGTGTTATTTTAATCTTGTTGTATTCAGCTTTAGGATTAGTCCCTCCATTAATTTGCTTAAACCAAATGTTATTACATAGTCACCATTTAACATTTTTCGCAGTAAAATTTATATATATATATATACACATAAAAAATTGATATATAATTAACAGAATTATAAAGACATAGTAATCCAATATAAACCAATATAACAAATAAAATAATGTAGTTGTTGGTGGTAGTAGAAAAGTACTAGTGTAAAATTAAAAAAATAATCAGTTTTTTCACTATAGTTAAATTATATAAAGTTATATAAATTAATTAATTAATTTATTAGTGATATGATATTTTTTAATGTTTTAAAACATGGTTCTTATTAATTTAAAACTTTTACGGTTTCTTATATTTGTTTTTAAACAAAATTGTTTTAAAAAATCTTAAAATATTTTTTTTGTTTTATAATTTTAAAAAAATGTTTTTTATTTACGAGAGACACTGTTCAATACTAAATTTTATTGTATATAAGAATTTTCTTTTCCTGTAATATAATGATTTTAATTATTGTTATAAATTGCTTTTATTTAAATTGGTAATTATTTTATTATATAATTATCTCTTTTCTTTGCTTTGTTTATAATAGTGGATGTAAAATTTCAACTTGTTTTTCAAATATTTAGTCTAATAATTTATTATCTTTATTATTTAATATCACCGTTTGTTTATACTATATTGTAATGCATAAAAAATAAAAAATTAAAAAATCATATTCTCAGCTTATCAAAAATTGAGCTTGCACAGAATAATGAGATTGCTGGTGAATTGACAATGATTTATATTTTAGCCAAATTTGACATTACAGTTTGTTCACTTGTTTATCAAATAATAATTATACAACATAATTAATGTCATGTTAATATATAATTAATATGGTACAGTTTTTCAAAAAAAATGTTTTAATAATTATTATCATCATTTTACGTTTATTATTATTACTATTATCTAATTTTTGTAAAGTGCTAAACAGTGAAAATCGAACGAAAACCTCTACCGTAATTTTAATTTAATGTTCAAAACTTAGTTAAATAAATATGAGATCAATGTATTTCAATTCTGGATAATTAATGGAAAATAAATTGGTTATTCTTATTTTATAAGAGTTCGGAATATACTTCATTATTGCTATGAAAAATATTTATTAAATTATCTGTTTAATAACTTAAAATAATAAAAACTTTTTCAACTTAATTTCCAAAAAAATATTTCCATCGGTGAGAAATATTTATATTAAAACTTTTTATGTGATTATTTATGTCTTGGTATGTTTTAATAATAAACAATAGAATTTGTTTATCATAAAGAATTTTTATGACATAAACCTGATGTCATCAAAACGTCGGCCGTCGATTTTTGCGAGTTAAGATATGACAAATTCCAGCTCTTTGATATCTTGAAATGCGGTGATATAGTGATTTTGATTATGACTTTTGCGAAAATAGTTTATTTTAGAGCATTAGTAATATACCCACGGATTCTTATTTATTTAGAGAAGGCGTTACAAGATAAATTAGATATACGTTTATATTTCTTAGACATGATCCCTTTGCATGTTCCACCTACAATTATTTTAATAGAACTAAGCAATGCAACACGATAATAATAAATGACGATGTGACATAATTTAAATATATAGATTTTGACATGACTTTTATATTTTTAAATTAACGTCTTTGTTGATCGGTTTTATTAAATTGATCAGACGTACGTTTCAACGTTTTTGAAGTGTAAAAATATAAGTTTAATAATGATGAGTATAAAATAACATGTAAATACTATAATAATAGCTTCCTAAAATTTATATTTATACACGCCTTATAACATCTATTCTACTATAATACTCATAATGATGAGCAAAGCAATGCCAAGATCTAGATTGCCAAAGTCTTGGTATTGGACTTATTTTTATTAACTTACTTTTTACTGAATTGCTTGTCTTGATTTTGTTATTACCAATCACGTCTTGACTTAAATTTTGACACTAGCAATTGTTATTGTAAGATCAGTTATGGTCTTGATCTATTTATCATAGTTATATAGAAAATGTTGTTCATTTTTCATTTTTATATTAGTGTGTGATTTATTATAATACTATCCTTCATTTTTAAAAATAGAGCATCGCTAAAGAGAAACGGGGTAGTGATCCCATTTCACACCTTTTCTAAATTATTAAATGTTAATATCTAAAAAGGTAACGTTACAAAATTGGTTATCGACCAGTTAAAATTTTATTTAGACTATTCTACTCATTTAAAAAAAACAAAACATCGGGGTTGCAGCATAGTGGTGACGTGGCTTATTTGGGTCAAGTATAGATGATATCTGACAGTGATTAAAATTACTATCATAAAAAACGCTTCGATATAAATCTTTAGATAGTGTTTAATTTTAAAAAATTGGTGGATTATTCCAAAAGCTACATGATTTCCTATTTCTTTATTTATATCCTGATTTCAAGTTTTATGATTTATATATGAATATATATATACAGGGTGTTTTTTTTATTATAACCAACTTAATTACTTACAGAACAAATATAATTTAAACATTTTTTTTTTGTTATCTTTAGTTACACATTATTCTTGAATTATTAACTATGTAATACTTTTTTAGTTCATCTTTATACCTTGTAAGAGTGTCAACTATGTTATTTAAATGGGAACATATATTATGAATTTAATCAAATGTTTGAATTTTTTATTTAATAGTAAATAGCATTTGAATTTTTAATAAAACTTTATTTGTTTATTACATATAAACATTTAAAGTTTCAAATTTTTGAGTTAATATACATGTGTAATACACAAGGGATTACAAATACAGGTAGCTAATTGGTTTCGTATGACATCGACATTCAAAGGTATACAGAATTGTTATTATCAATGATAGTAAGGCACATTTTTGTGAGTTAATAAATACACCAACTGACAATATAAAAAGTATATCTATTGATAGCCATAATTGATAATATATAATCCGTGACTGTGACAACAATGTCATAAAAAACCAATTAGCTACCTGTATTTGTAATCCCTTGTGTATTATACATGTATATTAACTCAAAAATTTGAAATTTGAAATTTTTATATCTGGAACACTTTTAAAATTATTATTCTTTATAAATCACTCTGTATATCAACCAAAAATCAAAGTTACATAAATAACTCTTTAAAATTCAGCTGTCAACAGTTAAACGATTTTTACCACATATTGTAAGTTGTTAGTATTATTATAGAAATACTATATTATGAAACGTCCACAATCATTTTTTAGGAAAATAAATGCAAAAGATAGAAATTTTATACTTGTAACACACTCAAAAAAAATTCACTAGTACTGCCACTCAGGCACACACACTGTGTTTTTTTTCCTTTCCTCTTTTCTCTATTTCCCCTTTACGGATCATTGATATCATTCGGACATTCTGAAAGAATTAATGTTCTCATTAATAATTCTTTAACAATAATCAATATATATATATATATATATATAATCATATCATATAACAAAATAATCGGTAAAAACCATACTTTTTTTATTTTTAAACAAATTAAACAAAATAATAACATAATTTTTTTTTCAAAATAATTATCTATACCAAATAAATTCCAAAAAAAAATAATTTAACAGAAATAACAATTCATCCTCTTGTTGAGAATAAACAATTCAATCACAAAACAAAATCTTTATACTTTTTGGGTACTGCAAATTACGTCTTGATCTTCCTACTTTCACTGTCTGTTCGGGTTCTGGTTTCTCTGACTCGCTTTTTTCTTCCTCTTCTGTACTG